TGTAAATTGGATCGTCAACCAAGTCAACGTCAATAATAAAAGAAAGAGCTTGATGGGGAAAGGGTGACGCAGGCAGAAGGGAGTGTTATGCTTGTCTCCAATGTCGTACTTTTGGACAACGAGTTTAGTGTTCGTTCTGTGCACCACTATTTGTGTTACAATCGATTTCATGACTAAATATACCTTCGTGATAGGGAAATATAAATACAATGTTTTGAAGAAAATATTAACAGAATAAAATTGTGAAACTCAAAGAGTTATGTGTTTAGGTTAATGAACCAAAATCACACCACTGCCTAAATCTGCATGGCTGCGGAGATTGACTTGGACCTATGTTTGTTTAGAAGTTCCTCTTCCACTACTTGTATTGGTAGCGATTGACCGTATCGTAAAATCTTCCTAATAATGGGCACTGTGTGATATTTATACCGGATCTAACTTTAAAAAAGTTTACAGATGCTGGTTAACTAACTTTTTACTAGGGTTGTACCTATTGATCTTAGAGTGAGTGCTATTTAGAAATTAGGAATTTAGAAATTTCGATAAATCGATCATCTTTTCATGGACTTTATCCACATATCTATTAAGTATCCCCTAAGTCATAGATCCATCATCAGCATTTTCTCATATATTTAACTTGTTTCACTGTACATTATCTCATCTAATAAATTGATCCGGAGTTCACCTACAGCGCACTTAGGTTAATACCCATTGTACCCATCTCCAATTTGCTCGTGTGAATTAAACTTATTTCGAGATCTGTTCTTCTCCAGAAGTTCAGCATTCCTTCTATCGATAAGTTGTTAATGGTCAATAAATGCGTGGCCTCAACTAAAGTGTCCGATCCAGCTAACGCCGGGCATACTTGATCTAATTTTTGTGTCGTTGTTTCGGTGCTTGTCTCAAACAATCTGCACAAAGATAACACTTTTCTATCTATTTTGTGCTAATGGTAGTTTAATAGACCGTCCTTTGAGCAGACAAATTAAAATTTTAACTCTGATCTTATCGAATTGCACAAGATTGCTTGCTCGCCAACACTGGTTCAAGATTAAACAATATCAATACCTGACGTAGGCAGTCACCAATACCGACTAAAAACCTCTTCTTGATTCCCCTGGGTTTCAAACCTTCTATCCACCTATGGAACTAACTTTCAGCTTCATCCTTCGCAGATGAATGGTCCTATTTAGTCACTAACGCGACTCTTTTGTGCCGCTCTTGTTCTGTCCTTATTTTCTCCTCGTCCTTGACAAAACCTTCTTTGCTTCCTCTACAGAAGAACTTCGCCTGGCATAAGAAGCAACATAGGCTCTTCTTGCAATCTGCTACCTTAAAGCCGGCTTCTCTGCACTTAAAGCACGCAGCAGACCTATCTACTGCTTGGCAGTCTCGACCTATATGGCCATAGTCAAGGCATCTGACACCTTGTGACTCTTCTTCTAAGCTTGCAGAATTACGCGTCTACTTGGCTGGTGATCACGATAGCGAGCTTTATTCCTCGTTTATTTGGTCCAAGGACCGTCTGCTTCCTACTGGTACCGTAGAATTTTTCCAGGGCATCCTGAACTTCCTCCTTTTCTGTAAGGGCATCCATATCGCGGATTTCCAGTCTAGTTTGGCGGTTCGTCATCTGCACCTTACCCAAAGCTCTAATTAGCTTTGTCACCTTCTCGGTGAAAGACGCCTTATTTGAAATACCTTTCATTTTAATAAGGAGGTCTCCCTTTTTAGTAGGTAAAGCTCCCACAACCCTTGTCTGACTGTCCTCCAGGTCAGCCACTGCACGAACTTTCTGCAGCACTTTGGCGAATGTTGTTCCTTCAGCCACTTTAACGATCATTGTTGTTCGCTGTTGTGAATGTCTTTCTTCCTTGACTGAATTCGGCTTTGGTGCCCTTTTGGTCCTCTTGCCTTCAGTCTTTTTAGGAGGTCCCTCCTCCTTCTTCCTGTTTGTGTCCTTCGCAAACTCAGGACCGCTTCTCTTCCGCTTCTGACTCTCCAAGACAACGTTATTAGCATTGCTGCGTTAAAACAGTCACGTCTCAACCTTCGGTCTTGGCGTGCTTCTTCCGACCAACTTAATCCCTGATAGAACTTCTCATCTTTTGTGGTCGCTGCTGCGTGCTTCTCTTTGACATCCTGTATGAGCGAAGTTAAGCTTCTGAGTCCACCCTTGATTGTCATATTGACATTTTTATGGATTTCACAGGATTTCATCATTCATCTCGATCTTCGTTAAAGCTTCGTCAATCGCAGAAGCGTTACTAAAGACAGAAATGCAGCTGGCTTGACTTGTTATACTGCTCGTACTCCCTCGTCCCTCCACCTTGTCCACCATGATATGTGGCACTTGCAACGCATTGTTGCCCTCCTGCATCTTTGGGCCACTGGACACCGTCCTCACGCCAGGTGCTTGACGATCGAAACCAGTGAGAGATTTAGCCGAAGCATTACCCCGCAGTTACTGTTCCTTGTTTTTACAATCGCTCATACTTGATTTTTTCTTTTTTCTGGTATTGGTTCGCGATGAATATTTGATTTCCTCGATACCACCTATTTCTAGAAAGCAACCCAATCCACCACCTTGGACGTGTCCGATAGAAGACCAGCAACCGCGGACAAGAGAATAAGTCCTAATGTGCTCCAGTTAAAACAAAGTGCCAACCGGACACGGAGTGATCATCCATGCTGCATTAAACTTAGGATATAGAATTACAATATTGTGTAGAATGCATTATCAAAATATATTAAATTGTAAAATCGTCGTCTAGGTTCTTCACTTCGGACAACGTTATTGCCAAAGAAAAGAGAATGCCGAACTGACATCCCAACAATTATTTATTGAAACAAATATTAGATAGGGTATCCCTGCATAAGTTAGGTACTAACTTACTCTACAGAGTTGTCAATGAAATGAAGTCAGCGGAGAAGGAACGTTTTACTTCTTTACTGAATCTTGTTTGTGACATGTTACTTTGATGAGTTGTCAGTTCGGTATAATAATTAACATCCTGAACGAAAGTTAGTATCCTCGAAGACGATCTCCTTTTATTCCGTTCAATGTGGTAGGAATTAAGTAAACTATTTACGTAAGCAAATTTTTGTATCATTCCAATTATGCAACTCTTGGTATTGTATAATAAATCTCTATATTTAAATTAGTTGTTGAAAACTCCAAAGGGAAGGAAATTATTATTAATAAAATTTCCCTACCAAAAACTATTTACATTAACAATATTATTAACATTTCTATCGATTTTTTAAAAATCATCTTATTCAGTTGGAATTTTCTGCGTCGTATAGAATTCTCATTATAAACCAAGCTTCATTCCATATCTAAACATTATTTTAATATCTCACCATACCATCAATTTCAATAACAGTTTAATTTAAAACGACCCTTAAGGCAATTCGAGTTTATAAGAAGATGTTTGAAGAACGAGATTTTAAGAGCACCTATATTTTCAATTGAAATCTCTTCCTTCTAATATCTTCTGTAATTTGAGAACGATGTGAAAATACTGCTTTATTTAACAGACAATTTTTAATCCACAATTTTGTTTGACTTTCGTTATTTATATTTTAAGAAATTGTAGATAAATAAGAAAAAGTACTATTTTTAATAAACTTAAATTCCAATGGTAAATTCATTGTATCCGAGTTGAATTTTTATAATATAACAGATATATATATTACAGGCCATGAGATGGAAAGATGAAAATTTTCTTTCTGTAACAAAAACATATAAACAAATAATTGAGTTACAAGGGAAGGAGAATATTTCTAAAGATCACGTTCTTGGAAGGTCCAATTTTCGGACTGACTTGTCGATAATTAAGGGGAATACGTGAGCTGACTTTTGATGTTCTTATGAAACTTAGTGGACAGAAACTAGTGTATATAGTGAACACACGCTAGAAGTAAAATATTTGTCTGCATTATGTTCTCCCTTACTTTTATAAAGTTATTTTTATAGTCCATGGTTCAGATACTTTTATAGGAACGGTAACGCTAATGCGATCCTTCTGGAGTTTTAACCTTCAGTTTTTTTTTTGAATAATCGTAAATTTTAAATTGTGTTCAAGATACCAGAATACTTTACGAGATTTATTGAGTTCAGAAATACTATTTCACCAAATTGTCAGTATCAAAAGTAAATTCACAATGGGATAATTAATTTTTTTAATGATTATTAATCAACTTAATGCAAAAGTTATTTCGCAAAAATAAATTTTTTACGCTATTAGTAATAACCAATTTTGTCACTATTAGATTTAAAATCAAAACAATCAAATACTTAATATAAAATTGTGTTCCGATACGGAATAGATTAATAGATAGAAAAAAACTGGTAAAGTTTTTACTGCGGAGAATGTTTATCGTTTTTATGTAAATTTAATTTAATATTAGGATTTTTCATATAAATTATCGCATAGTAGAAAAAAGCATTAGGTACAATAGATACAAATGATCTATTTTAAATTTTAATTAATTGAAAGCATAAATGATTTTACAATGTTTAATAATGTGAATTATGAAAACGTTATTTGGAACAAGTAGCGCAAAAGCAGAAGCTAATTTATTACTGAAATGACATGATTCATCTTGACAAGAACAAATGATCGAAGAGTAAATTACTCTCGTGTTTCATCGAGTTATCTTGAAGTGATTCGACTCCTGAGGCTTTGCACAAAACTTTGAAGTATAAGGGTATCCTAAGTCTTTAAGAATATTTTCTAGCTGCAGGAGCTAAATTTAATTGGTCATTAATGCTCTTAAAGAAGAAAATGTAATTCTTTTACAGAGAGCGTAGATCAAAGTTTTTAACCTTCATGAAAGTATAATGCCCATCATTCTCTTAACTCAGAAACATTACTTTACGATTGAAATAATAATTTTTATAACGAGACATACATTATTTATGACTCGATATTTTATAATTATAGTAGTTATAGTATACTATAGATTATAGTATTTTCTTTTGTTTCTTGTTTCAGGTGCAATTTTTACAGAAGATCAAAAAGATAGTCCAATAGAGTTGGCTTTTAAATACGCTGTGTACAGAATCAATAAGGATAGGAGTCTTCTTCCTAACACCAGTTTGGTGTACGATATTCAATATGTGCCTAAAGATGATTCATTTAGAACTTCCAAAAAGGGTGAGTAATTAAATTTCAGTAATTTATAATTTACTAAATCAATAGTCAGTTTTTTTCATGCTGAACTTAATTAACGCTTCTGCTAGTAACGCGTATATTATATTCAGTAAATAATTAAACCATTCATTAAGGTTGTGGTGACGTAAGTAATTAGAGATAAAGCGATAGTGATTAGATAATTAGTTTGACCAAAATATTCTACCTCTAAACCTGATCTATGTATAATTATAATTTCTATAAGAAAGATTAGAAATCGATTTTTAAAAATTTTGCTTACCGACCCACTTAATAAACAACCGTTGTCAAGAAAATTGTGGTCATCTTTAAAGTCTTACTTTACTTAGAACCCTATTCACTAATTCTTCCAAAGCCTATGTAAAGATGGAACCCTTTTGTCGACGAAGCTTGGGACGAGCGCCTGAACCTTCATATTAGGTTCATATATTCAATGAATACGTCTTTAATTTATTGCTTTACTTTTCATTTTATCGTATTTGTATTAAAATAAATTGTTTACTACTATCTACTATCTTGAAAAGTCAAGAATATTCATTCAAGAAAAATATTTTAATCATTTGTGTGTTCAATTTGTTTGCTGTCACTTTATAAATAAGCTTGATGTATATTTTGTAACCTAAATAGGCGAACCACGTTAGCATATAAATATGTAAATACAGGGAGGGTGGTTAAAATGAATTTCTATCACCTCTCGACGTCTACTGGCAAATACGTGGAATCTCACATCCTGTTCAAGGGTTTCTCCTCTAAATGTATCCTTCCATGAAATTCCCTTCATAAATCCTCTCTCCCATGACGCGTTTGTCTCTCACAGTTTTATTGTTTTTTTTTCCACCAACATGTTCCACTATTTTTTTCATTTTTCTTTCCTCTCGAGATACTTGTTCCGCAACCTTAATTTAAATTAGTAAAATTCTACTGATTTAACTGGAGAGACGGATTTAACAATGCAAAGGGTTGGAGAATTATTATTATTGTCAAACATCAAATAGAAATTTAAATCAACTATTAAGCAGACAGAATTCATCTAGATTACTCATTTCCAAACAATAAGTCAATGGCATTAGAATTTAATATTATATACATTGTGGAAAATAATTTGACAATCATTTTAGAACATTACTATTCATTTCTGTTATGGTACTTACGCATATATACATGTTTCTCTAACATGGACTTTACTATATTTGTCAGCAGAACAATATATTATATGTGCAGAGTGCACGTTGTAAAACGTTTCATAAAATGCGTCGTGAAAACAAAGCCAAATGGTGGCGTTGGATGTACAATTTTTCATATTTCATTCTTCCATTTTTTTTTTCTTCTTTTGAAATGTACATATTTTTGCAGTTGGAAGCAAAAATAATATGACAACCTGTATTAACTTCTTATCTATCTTTTCAGAAGCATATAATGCACTGTGAACATAAAATACACGGAGAGACCGAGATTACTAATTTTTGTATAAAATCACACTAGAATTTACTATTTTCACATTGCAACCACCGGAAATAAGGGGACTTTTTGTATTTTTTACTATTTTCTACACTAAGTCACTAATCCCGACAAATGTTCACCAAATTAGCAAAGTTTCTTACTATTTCGTCCAATAGTTCCAAATAACTGTAGTAAACTCAGAAGCACTGTGTACGTAAAATTACTACAGTCGTTTGTAAATGCAGAAAGAAAGAGTGAAAGAAAAAATACGGATTTTTGTCGCCGGTTTCCCGTCAATTCTTGACTAATGGAGACAAACTGGAAGGATTTTTACATACACAGACACACACACACTTATATATTTGAAGACACACACATGTTTATTTCACTTATATATATAGACGCGGTTAATTAATACACTAATACACAACTGCACGCACGACAACGAATTTCACTGAAAGTATACATCTTTGTTTCCTTATATATTGAATGATGAAAATTTACAGCACTTACGAGAAAGCAATTTACTTTTAACAACTTATTATAAGACATAGTTCTTGGGACAGGAATAAATGCAAAGTTTATTAATTTATAATGGTCAATTTCTGAGATACCGAACGACCTACGTTTCACTTTATATTTAATTATTGTAGATAATATCCAAATTTATTTTACATACGCGAAACATAGTCACTGTCAATGATCGGATGGCATCGGCTCATTTACGGAGATTGACGAAGTTAGCAACCAATAGAAATGCAGGCGCCATATGACTGCACTCGCTAGCCACACTTGCTCACCAAAAATTACTACAGTGGATCGTAGGTTTTAGTGGAAAATGTTTTCATTTGTCAGATTTTGTCTAATTAAATTAGAGAAAACTATAATCAATTTTTGCTACATTTACAACTCTTACACAAAATATTAAAACTTGCTATTTCAATGTAGCAAATTTATCTATTTCTTTTGTAAATTTATCTAATTCTGTAGCACATTATGCTAAAAGTCCCCTTATTTCCGGTCATTGCAACCATTTTTAGTAATTTTTACGAATGTGGGTCTCTCCGTGTATAACATTTATCAAGATATCCAACTGTAAATTAACTACAATAAAAATTGTTACGTAGACAAATAAATAATGGTCACAAAATAAAAAAAATTATTTTTACTTTACGAAGATATAAAAATTGCGTTATGGTCAGCAATATGTCTACCTCTATACCTTTATTAGTTCCAAGTTCATATATATGTGTGTTATGAAACGTGTTAACGAGTCAGTCCAGTTCCTTCCTTTAAGTACTGCTACTTTTTATAACAAACTATCATACTCAGAAGTGATATAATTGTAAAAAGGATCTTCTAATAAATCAGACTTTAACTTTTTTTAAATCTTAGTAACATAACTAGAATCATTATTAGAATAAGTTGTCAAAAAGCGGTTCTCTCGTTAATAAAGGGAGAATTAACAGTCTGCGGGAAAATATAATAATCTGCATAAGGGAAAACCGATAATGTAGAGAAATACATATTTAACAACAAATTCAGCAGCATCAGTTTACATATTACACGGAAACAAAATACATCGAAATAATTATACCACTATTAGAATAAGAAATAATCTTTAAATGTAAAATGGTAAATATCAATCGGATAGTTCATCGGTATAAATATCAATCGGTAGTATAGTTCATATAAATTATTCTGCAAAAGCATAATTATGTCTAATTATGAGCGAGAACTTTTCTTTATTCAAAGATAATTTTACTACTACTTTTGCAGAAATATAAAAGACACGTTATAACATAAATAAATTCTAAAATTTAAACAGAGTTCACCAGTATTTAAATTTTTAAAGCTTTTTAAAGTGTATTTAAAGTATTTAAAAAAATTTTATTTAAAAATAATAATAATACGAAAAATTTATTCAACACTCAAAAATGCGAAGCAAACCTGTCAATATTACCGCGCGTCAAATGTTAATCATTTCATTTCAATAAAATAATACTTTGGAGTGAGATGTTGTCCAAACTAGCTTAGGGATTATTGCGCCTATATGTCAGATAACATTACCTAAAATTTCTTTGAAAATTCTTTTGTATTTTTTGAGAAAACCCGTGGGAATTATTACACGTACTCATTGAAGTTGGCGAATAATTAAAATTAACAATAAAAAGAGTTAGAGCAACTTCCTTTTTCCACATAGCAGTTAATTATAAAAAATCCTTTGATGTCAGTCGACTTTTAGTTGAGGTGGTAAAAGTATTCATTTAAACATTTTTGACCCGCTTGCTCTCGACTCAAATGACATTTTACGTGCACATAATTTTAGAATTCAAAATTTTTAACAAAATCTTAATTTTTAAAAAAATGACATATTTTTCAAACTAAATGTACTGAACAAGTGCAAAATTCCTTGAGAAATAGATTTCTATTCTATTCGACAAAGTCGTAATTTTGGAATTCCTCAGTAATGGGTGCACCCGTGATAAGGCATACCACATCTCCACTTAATGTCTTCTACAAATGATTCTAATTGAAATTTTTTTTCTTTCAGTAGATCCTTTTATTTTATTTTAATTTACTTTTTTATTATTTAAATGGAATTTAATTATTTTTAAACTATTTTGACCCATTATCTATATTCTCATTTTAATTAAATCGTTAATCCAAAGATGCCATTGAGTTTTGTTAACAGAAGATCAAAGAAATATTCCAAACGGACAATTTTAAGGAAAAGATAAAAAAAACGTAAAGGTCTTGAAATTATCTTATCGTCGAATTCCCTTTCAAATGTTTTTGATTTAAAATTATAATTAATTTATGACATAAAAATAACAATATTTAATGTATATATATTTTTCTATACTACAATACGTAATACGTATAAAAGAATCAGCAAAGTGAATTAAAGGAAAAATCTTTTTTAACATTTTAAGATGTCAGAAAAGATTTTAATATATTCTCTGCTATGATTCAGCGATTTGGTATATATTTAAAAAGACGTTAAACGACGTGCTAAGAATTTTTTTGACACTTGAAGTAACATGACAGAATTGTATACGTTTCTTTTTCGTGAATAAGAAAAATTGTTGTAAAATGAATTGAGCCCCTATTATTGTCGATTTATTTCTGCTTATAGATATATCAATTTCTTTAATATGCTGACGCAACATTTCACGGTAATATGTGTGCAATTGTTATTATGACAACTTTATAATAAATCACGAATTTCATATCTGTATTATAGAAATTTTTGTTTTGATTAATAACTCAATTTTTTTAGAGTATTGATTTTAAACTGCAAATTGGTAATGTGTTGCGTATAATGAAATGGATTACACAGCCACACAAAAATAAAATTTTTTGTTTCTGATCTGGAGGTCTCACTAGGTGTACCTTATGTATTTTGGGTCGCTGACAACGAATTTGAAGTCAATTTTTAAAAATTAAAAATAGCGGATCCAATATATCCGACCCTTATTTAAAAAACTCATTAAATTCGCTCGAAACTTGTTAGGCAGGGGGTTTTCGGAGTCGCTGAATTTTTCCAAAGGGTGTCCGCCATATTGGATTCACCATTTTGAATTTTTGCAAACTGACTTCAAATTTGTAATCAGCTACACCGAAAACCCCCGAGTAGCGAGTTTTCAGCGAATTCGAAAGTGAAATTACATAATCGACTTTATTAGCCCTACCTCTCCTCAGTCATAATTAAGTTCAATTTAATAAAAAAAAAATATTTTTGTTTTAATTGTTACAGCTTGCCAACAATTATCAAGATCGGTCCAAGGAATTTTTGGTCCCTCAGATCCTCTGTTAGGTGCGCACATACAAAGTATTTGTGAAGCACTAGACGTACCTCACTTGGAAGCCAGAGTAGATTTCGAGCCCACCTTTAAAGAGTTTAGTATAAATCTATATCCTGCTCAAGATCATCTCAATAAAGCATTTAAGGACCTTATGTCCTTTCTGAACTGGACGAAAGTCGCTATTATCTACGAAGAGGATTATGGTAAGTTAATAATGATCTTTTCAATATTAGTGATTACCCACAAAACATAACATCTTTCAGCAAGTTTTATATTTAAAAATTCGGATACAAATCAAAAATAAAATATTATTGATGATTTCCTTTGTTATTATGTAATAGTAAAATATATCGTAATTAAATTTACCATCTATAATAACAATTAATTAATCACAATAATTATTATAATTTTCTATTTAATGTCTTACAAACCTCAGTAAAATTACAATTCAACATCTTGAATTCCATTTTATTTTTCATGTGACATCTGCACACCATTTTAGAGGTGGTATGTAATTTTGTTTTGTCTCTAGCGCCACGTAGACGTTGAGTTGCGTGTAGGTTAAAATTAAAAAAGTAAAACATTAAAATTCACATTATTTTTCTGATTTATTTTAAAATATTTAATTATAAAGAACTAATTAATATTTAACTGTAATCATTTCTTCACTGTTTTCTTATTGTCAGTAAATAAATATAGCAGTAGATGTAAAAAAAATTCAATTGCAAATATTCGATTATGAATTATAAAATTTATTTTAATAAAAGATGTTAAAATTGTTGATCAGTCAATTCGTAATTAGTGGAAAGATGTTAAAAACTTTTTAATTCTTCTGATCAGATATTCGATTCAATTTAGCTTAGAGTGAAAGCTAAGCTAAATTGAATAAAATATCTGAACAGAAGAATTAAAAAGTTTTTAACATCTTTTCACTATAAAATTTATAATCTATTGTGAATAACAGAAATCATTTTAAAACATTGAAAGAAGAATAACAGGTTATAAAGAATATTAACTGTATTAAGCTTTAAGACATATTTTTAAACACAAATTCGGGATTTTTTTATGATACATTTTTTTTTAATGTCAAAAGAATATTTCAAAAATATATCCTAGAGAGATTAAAAAAAAATTTAAAGTTAATAAATAAATTGTTATCGCTCTTTAAAGAAATACTTTTTTTTTATCAGAGAAATAAGTAATATAAACTTATAAAAATTGAATTTACAAAAAATAAGTGGAGTGGTGGAGTGAAATAAAAGGTGTTAACAAAGTTTTACCTCAGAGAAAAGAATTCCTGCCGCGAAAGCTCTTATACTGTCAAGACGAAAGCGACTTATCGGCCTGTTTTATCTGCAGGCCGTTTTCTTCTCTTGGAACGGCAAATAAGAACGATAATGTACTACGACAACAACGCAGACGTGTACAGCGACAAACCAGAGCTCGCGAAGTAGCAGAGATGCAAGCGTAGCTTTGTGTAAATTCAATTAAAGTCCCCTCTGGGCTTTATGTGGCGCATTTCTCCTTTTTTTTTGGACTATTTTTTATGTTCTTCTTTTTTGAAAGAAAATAGGAGTAAGTCAAGAACGACAAAAGCGTGAAACTACTTCCTTTTTTTCTCTTTCAGATATAAAAACTATTGTTTATTATTAACATTGTAGTGAGAAATTAAAAATTCTTTTCTGATATGAAATTTTTTAATAATGCAAAAATATTCTTTAAAATACAAATAATGTTTAACAAAGAAACGTCAATTAAATGAGTGAAATTTAAATTGACTTGCGAATCCGGTGTTACTTTTTGAAAACTTAAAATGGCGGATCAAATATGGCGGATTTCAAAAGTAAAAATTAGCCAGAATCGTGTGAAATTCACCTTATACAGGGAGAGTAACAAATATTAAATACAGAAAAAATAGTGTTAGGAATTAAAAGAAAAGTTGTTAAAAATTATGCGAAAGTTGTGCAATATGTTTGTTGAAGTCCAATTTGATTGTTCATACACGAATTTGTGCCACGTCAATTTTATTGGTGAAAAACATTGTGAATACCTTTCGTAGTAACATATGAACAATGATCTATTGCTCTTTCTCTCCATACAAGTTTGAAAAAAGAACTGACAATCACTGATTTGTAAATCCATTATTCTTGTCTGTAGTTTGTCCAGGTGTTGAATAAAAAATTTATTCTATGGGTAAAAAATTTTTCAATTGTTCACATGTGGTTTAGTATTTAAAACTTCTGCTACGTTTCGAAGCGAAAAAAGAATGAATCTTTATTTTGTTGCTAACATCTAAATAAGCAGTTTTCAATTTATTAAACAATTCTACAATAATATTTATTTTTTTTTTTTGTATAAATTTCAGGATTGTTCAAACTTCAAGACCTTGTAAAGACTCCTCCCTCAACGAAAACGGAAATGTATATACGTCAAGCTGGTCCCGACACATACAGGCAGGTCCTTCGTGAAATTAGGAACAAGGAGATTTACAAATTAATCGTCGATACAGATCCAGCGCACATGCAACAATTTTTCAGAGCTGTAAGTAAAAATTTTTGTAAATTCATTATACCAATTTTACAAAATGTCAAAACATTATTGATTATTTTATAATAATTCTTAATTATAATACTTAAAATTGTTGATTATAAAGCAAGAAAATTTAATTTATCAATTGCGACATAATCAGTTGCGAGATATTACGTTCAATCCAATATTTTATGTCGACGTAATAAGAGGTTTTGAATATTAATAAATTGAATAATAATCTTATCAAAGGGCAAATCATATTTGAATCAATAATATGCAGTACTAATAAGAGATATCACCTTTGAAGTGGTATCTAATGAACTCAATTTGATCTGGTCAAAAGCAGCATTACTAAAATCATAAACATGAAAAGATGGAGTAATAATAATAATAATGTTGTCTTTGAAATATATTTCATGTTAATTGAGAAACATGTCAATGCAATTTTAGAAGTGAACAGAAAGACTGCTTGTAGTCAACCAATTAGAAAGTAGAAAGTAAACGTACTAAAATTATTTCTTGTTAATTTTTTAATGAAAAAAATTGAGAAATTTATCAGGGGTGCCATTCTATCTTGTAAGAAGCTTTCTAATTGCTATATTTTTTACACTTATAGTTGAAGAACATTTGTATCAGTGGAATCAAACTTAAGCCAAACTGTCTGGGCCGATGCCAAAAAATGGTAGAAACATGGTTTTCGATGCTCTTTCTTACATTTCATGCATTGTTCTTGGTGGTATTAAAGTGTTTATAAAAATTAATCTGTTATCAAATTCCAAACACGAAACTATTTAATGGGAATCAAAGATTAAGTTTAAAGTACCTTAACAACTGTGTGTTGTAGCTTCATTTTAACTATTTCAAAATATATCTAATATAACGTAACAAGCAAATAGCCGATAAATTCATAAATCTTTATTGATTATATTATCCATAAATAATGGAACAGTTTTCTTTTTTTTAATTGTATTGTATTCTTTTTTTTAAATATTCTTGCAACCCCGAGGTGTGAATATTCTTCAAATAAAGTTAAAACTTTTTATCCTTTTCATTGCGAAAAGTGGATTGTGTTTAAAAAGTTGTATTGTTTCTATAAGAGTTTTGTCTTATCCTTTCATTGATCTCTGCGAGGCGTCTTGTTAATGTTCTTTCTGGAGAAACTTACTTTATCATAAAGTTTCTTCTTTTCTAGACACTCTTAAACGAACTCTTTTAGTGAAAAAATAATGAAGAAATTAAAAGACGAAAATAGTTTGAGTATTCTATCTTGGCGATAAATTTAAAAGAAAGATTAATATTCAAACTTAACGACAACATTATTTGTAGTATTTTAAAATGTTTTTAAAATAATTGAGTGAGTTTAATGTAAAAATAAATTTAAATAGTTTTAAAAAAAATTAAAATTAAAATTAGTTACTATTCTTAATTTTTGTATTTTGTTTCTTTCAGATATTACAATTGCAAATGAACGACTTCAGATACCATTACATGTTCACAACATTTGTAAGTAAGATTATAAATACTTTACAATCATGAGAAGTGTTAATTAAATTATTAATATATAAGTTCTGTTTTGTTATCGTTAGTGAAAAAATAAGAAAATTATATCATCAATTTTACAAAAGTAAACTAAATAAACCTTGGTGTAGAAGCATTTAGTAGAAAGAGATTTCCTCAAAGTTTTAATATGTTTCAGTTTCAACAAAGTGATTCCACTTTATGCTTGTTTAATAAGATTTCAAATTGTTCAAGATTTGTAATGAAAAAGATAAATAAGATAGTTTTTTGATGTGTTTTATTAGCTAAAATTTCTCCCACTGTCATTAAACAGATTTAGCTTGATTTCCTGTAAATGTTTAAGTCAAGATATACGAAATGTTCACCACCGATTTAATCAATTTTCGTACATGGCCTATAGATCGGACCTACAGCAAATCAAGCAGTTTCAACATTGCAAGCCACAGGAGCTTTCGTCGACAAAATTACGTTGCAACTGCATCTAATTTAAATAAATTTAAATAATTAGATGACCAAACGAAGACTATTATTGCGTTTAATTTATGTTAATACTTTATAAAATATTGAATTGTATTTTTTAATGAAATATAAAATTAAACTTTTTTTTTACTTGCAGGATATAGAAACATTTGATTTAGAAGACTTCAAATACAATAGCGTGAATATGACTGCCTTTCGATTGGTTGATCTTGAAGAGCCAAAGGTCGTCGAAGTTCTACGACAAATGGAGCGTTTTCAACCCATTGGACACGCTATTCTCAACAGAACTGGAATTATCCAAGTTAGTATAGAAAATTTTGAAAAATCATTTTTAAACTTTTCTGTTTAACATTTTGCTGAAATATCTATTTTTTAAAATCTTATTATACAATTTAGCAAAAAAAAAACAAAGATCATAATAAATTAAAATATTCGCGAACACAAATCAGTAACACAACAATTATTATGGCCTCGCGAGTTAACATAACAGATGCTTCCGAGCATAACTCACCAAATCTTTAAAATTAATAAAGTGAGAGCATCTGCATCATTTTCCTCCTTTATTTTATAACCAGCAAATAATATATAATTCTTATTATATTGTCAGTTAAAAAATTTTATTTTCAATTATTTTCAAAAATTCATAAAAAAAAATTCTTCGAAACAATTTAATTATTTTTATAAATTGTAAAATCCTCTGAAGAATTAAATTATTTTCATAAATAAGAAAATTCTTCGCAAGAATTAAAATATTTTTATAAATAATAAAATCCCTCAAAGGAATTCAATTATTTTCATAAATAATAAAATGTTTCGGAGGAATTCAATTATTTTCAAGAGTTTTAATAAAAATTTTCAAAAAAAAACAATTATTTTTAAAAATATTATTTTAATTCAATTATTTTCAAAAGTTTAAATAAAAATTCAATCATTTTCAACAATTCTGATAAAATTTTTGGAAACAATTCAATTATTTTTATAAATTGTAAAATTCTTGTCAAGAATTCAATTATTTTTGTAAATAATAAAATTCTTCGGTGAAATTCAATTATTTTTAATACAATTTTAATTAAATTTCTGGGAAAAAATTCAATTATATTCAAGATAATTTTAATAAAATTTCTCTAATAGGTTCAATTATTTTTAAAAATGGTAATAAAATGTTTCTAAACAATTCTATTGTTCTCAAAAGTTTTTAATAAAATTCTTTGTAAATTTCAATTAGCTTCAAAATTTTCAATAAAAATTATTTTTAAAAAACTTAATTATTTCTAAGAAAATTGAAATAAATTGTTAAAAACAATTCAATTATTTTAAATAATTTTAATAAAAATCTCGCCAAAAATTAAATTATTTTCAAAACAATTTTAAATACATTTTCTCGAAAGAATTCAATTATTTGAAAAAATGTTGATAAAATTTTAGAAACGAATTCAATTATATTCAAATTTTATTTATAAATACTTTACAAGAATTTAATGATTTTCAGTAAATCTTCAGTTTAATTATTTCTTAAAATAATTGAATTCCTGAATAGAATTTTATTAAAACTTTTTTAAAATAATTGAATCTGTGCAAAAAAATTTATTATTTCTACAAATAATTGAATTTTTGCAAAACTTTAAAAAACAAGTGAATTTTTTAGAAGAATTTTATTAAAATTGTATTTAAAATAATTGAATTCCTGTGGAAATTTTACAATATATTTATTGATATTATTCAATTCTTTCGAAGAATTTAAAAAAAAAATTTTGGGGCGGTATCAATTGCCCTCAATTCAACTGTATACAGGAAAACTGCCCACAACAAACTGCATACTGGAAAACTGCATACAAGCAAATTTTAATAATAAAATTATTAAATTTAATTTGAAAACTATATAAATCTAAACTGCATACCGTTAAACTGCAGATAGGTAAACTGCACACAAGTCTAATTTTTTATTAAATTTATAAATAATTAATATTAAACAACTCTACACAGTTAAAGTGTACATTGGTAAACTGCATACAAACTAAATTTAAAAAATTAAATTAAAAATTTATTTATTGTTTAATTGCACACCGTTAAACTGAACATTGCTCAACTGCATACAAAATAAATAAATAAATTAAAAAAATTTAATGTATCGTCAAATTGCACATCGGTAAACTGCATACATATCAACTGTATACAGCTAAGTTCTCTTCTATGAAGTTGGCAGTTGCGAATATATTCATAGAAGAGAACTTAGCTGTATACAGTTGATATGTATGCAGTTTACCGATGTGCAATTTGACGATACATTAAATTTTTTTAATTTATTTATTTATTTTGTATGCAGTTGAGCAATGTTCAGTTTAACGGTGTGCAATTAAACAATAAATAAATTTTTAATTTAATTTTTTAAATTTAGTTTGTATGCAGTTTACCAATGTACACTTTAACTGTGTAGAGTTGTTTAATATTAATTATTTATAAATTTAATAAAAAATTAGACTTGTGTGCAGTTTACCTATCTGCAGTTTAACGGTATGCAGTTTAGATTTATACAGTTTTCAAATTAAATTTAATAATTTTATTATTAAAATTTGCTTGTATGCAGTTTTCCAGTATGCAGTTTATTGTGGGCAGTTTTCCTGTATACAGTTGAATTGAGGGCAATTGATACCGCCCCAAAATTTTAAAAATAATTTGATTTTCTCTGAAATTCAATTAAAATTGCTTATTTAAAATAATTGAATTCCAGCGAAAATTCCATTATTTATGAAAATAATTGAATTTTATTAAAAGTTTTTTTAATAATTAAATCTGTGCGAAAAAATTTATTATTTCTCCAAATAATTGCATTTTTGCAAAATTTTAAAAAACAAGTGAATTTTTTAGAAAATTTTTATTAAAATTGTATTTAAAATAATTGAATTCCTGTGAAAATTTTACTATTTATTGATATTATTAAATTCTTTCGAAGAATTTAAAAAAAAATGTTTAAAAATAATTTAATTTTCTATGAAATTCAATTAAAATTGTTTATTTAAAATAATTGAATTCCATCAAAAATTCTATTATTTATGAAAATAATTGAATTTTATTAAAAGTTTTTTAAATAATTGAACTCCTGTGAAAAATTCAATTATTTTTTACAATAATTGGATTTTCTCTGAGAATTTTTACAAGATTTTGAAAAAAATTGAAACTTTCTTAAGAACTTAATTAAAAATGGAATAGAAAATAAGTAATATTCTGATAAGAATTTTATTATTTATATAAAAATAATTAAATTGTTTACAAAGATTTTTATTATTTATAAATTGACTAAAGAATTTTATTACTATTACTATTATTAATATTATTTATATTATTACTATTATTTCCAAGTGTTTTGTCAGCAAATAGTCCTAGAATCCATTGTTATAAAATATTGTATTTTAAATTTGATTTTTGTTAAAGGTCTTAATATTTTTATACCTCTTATACTAACAAAGTATAAAAATAATTTTTTATCTCGTTAATGTTACTTTTTTTAGTATAAAAAATAAAAGTAATTTGATAAATGCAATACTGTGCTCAGGACTTTTTCGGAATTGAGACTGAGTGGTGCATTTTTGCAACATCACATAGGGGAAATGCATGCGACGAAATTGATGGAACAGTTAAAAGGTATTGCGGTCCGTAGAAGTTTAAGAAGAACCATCCGGGTATAGCAAGAAATTTTTCACGTGGCTAATTTTATTACAACCGTTTATCAATTTCATCCTTACTTTATCCTCTTTTCAACTTTCCTACACTTAAGGAGAGGCAACTGAATACCATATATGATGAATATTGATTTCACAACATATTTTATTTAAATAATGTAATAAAGAAATATTTCGTTGATTTAATACAAACGTCAGATAGATCGATCTCTTTTTGTAGAAGAACTTTTGCCTTAATGTAGGATTGATCTGATTGATGTTTTTAGTAACCAAAAAAAAATGTGATTGTATGTAGTTAGATTGAAATAATCAAACTGATAATTTATTAAAAATAAATTGTAACTGATATTTAAATTTTTTTATGTGCTGACTTGTATAATCATTAGCAGGAAAAGATAATAAGTTACATCACAAAAATTATATAAATATTTTATTAATACTGGTCAGTGGAAAATTTTTTCTTCTATATAAAAGAAATAGCTTTATACTTTTTTCTGTTATAATGAAACAATATTCACAATTCTTTTAATCTCTGGGCTGTCACATAAAGGACATAAAAAAATTTGTTTCCTCTATGTGCCTCTATGTAAACAGCTTTGGAGCGGATTATAAAAAAGTATCTTTAGATTGCAGTGAAATAAAAAAATATTAATTCTTTTGAAATGGAATTAAATCAATCTGATAGTATAAATAGAATGCATTAGTATCAATATCTTCAGAAAATCCTACACTTATACGTGGTCCTGAATTTAGTCGAGTGGATTTGTAAATGATAGATTTCACAGGAAATTTTTTTTAAATTTCCATTCAATAATCGTTTGAAACATTTGTTTGCAATTTGCTGAAAATTTTTCAAATATTGGAAGTTGATGATAAGAATTCATCATAATCGAACCTGGTATTATAAAAAAAAACTTTATTTTTCCTAATGGGAATTATATTCATGCATCTAAAGCTTACATTGGATTGTTTGAAAATCTATTTTCCTTTTAATACACGTAGCCATGAGTTAAAATAAATTGAATGAAATACCTATTTGAGTTCAAAGGACAATCTAGCGGAAGAGGATAGTAATTTGAAAGGACTGAGTTTGGAGAAATGCTATGGAAACTGAATGTCAGTTTTATCCGTAATTCAATAGTGCTAAGAGAAATTCAATTTATTTGTCAACAAATAAGGCAGGTAGATTTTAATTCTGACTTCTCAATAATAGTGCGAATTAAACTCACACCAGTCTGATATTTTTATTTAAATTTTGTCACAATAACAGACTTATAATTTTCCATTTTTGTAAAAAAAAGTTTATAGTTTCAATCGTATTTGGACTTATTGCATTTTTATTAAAATTCACTAGCAACATTGCACTAAGAAACTAATTTGATATTTGACAATGATAAAAAGTAAATAATTTAAAGCTAAAGTGCTATTCTGTAATTTTAATTGACTTTCACAATGCATCGAAAAAATTACACTGCACAACGGTGAAGAGATTAAAAAACCTGACTAAATTCTCAAAATTAATTTAAAAGCTGATTTATCTTACTCCGAGATTTCAAGGGTCGCTGTTTACAAATCTGAAATAAGAATTTGTATTTACATTGTCGCACTACTTTACAGTACAGTTTTTACGAAAATACACGAATTTTTATACGAACCCGAAACATATTACCGAATGAAGTCGATATACTAAATTAATAAAAATATATAACTGCTAGAATGGTTAACTTTTACATTCTAAAAATAAGCTCTAAAATAATGAAAATTAATATGAATTTAAAAGTACATGATAGAAATATTTATGTTCCAGGCAGAACCAGCGCTTGTGTATGATAGTGTACAAGTTTTCGCACATGGATTAGCTGCTCTCGATGGCAGTCACATTCTTAAACCTGCTAATTTATCTTGTGAAAAAGAGGAACCTTGGGGTGATGGATCATCTCTTTATAACTACATTAATTCCGTAAGTATAGCTTATGTAGTATTTTATTAATTGCTCTTCATTCCGTGTTTTTTATAAGCATTAACTCTATTATCTACTTAAGTTTTAATTAATATTAGCGTAGTTAATACTAGTAGAAAAGAATTTTAACTAAAGAATATTTTAATGGGAAATTTATTGAAATTAAAACGTTTTTTCGTTGAATGTAAAGAAGGGGCACGAAAAAGGCGTTTCACATTGGTCGTTAGTTGGCAGTAAATTCTGAATATAATTATCATTATTGGCATGAAAAGGTCCCTTACACAAAAGAATGGTCATTTAAACTTTGCTTCTCATTTATAATAAATGACCTAATATAATGATTTATTGTATTCAATTACTCCCATAATTAGATTAAAATTAATTGCACTGATAGTAATAAGAAGCATCGTGTAACTAATTTTTGCTTTTCTTTTATTTAAAAAAAATGCAAAAATGTTATAACACTTGTTTAAAGTTGTTTAATTTAAACTGAACAGCACAAATAGATGCGCATTACTACTAGACATCTAATTTATAATAATTTGCAGCAACATGTAATTAATAATGAACATAATGAATATAATCGTATGTCAAGAAAGTGACTCTGTAATGCTATAGATAGCTAGAGGAAAATCTACGTAGACCCTTGTGACACTCTAGTACTGAGTGTTTGTAAATGGATTTATGTTGGCATGGCCAAACGTAATTCATTCCCCATTGGCGTGTGCATGAGCTGATTCGGGATACAATGTAGAGTTAGTGCCAGCCCTGAGGTAATTAACGCACAAATCTGCCGGAGCGAATCTACTGGAAAATTTCTGAATAGCCGTCCTTTCACGCCTGCATTTTACGCTGAAGATGAACATCCCTAAATCAAAATTAATTCAGTGTCAAAGAAAAATTCTTCATGCAAATTATATTCTCCTTCATAGTTTTTAATTTTATTTCCTAAAGTTCTAATTTTATTTATAATCAAACTTTTTTAATATAAACTTTTTTAACTCTTAAAGTGTGTACTTTATAACTGTTAAGTATAGTAGTAAACATTTATTTTAAGGTACTACATTGTACAATATTTTTTATTGTACATTGTACTACATTGTATTCTACATTGTAGAAGGTCAAAAAACAAAATCAAGAATCTCTATTTTCTATATTTATTTTAATTTTATAGTTATCACTATAAGACATCTAAAAACCAAGAATAAATGGATTCTCCAAATTTAGAGTAGGGGCACAAACTTTCTTGCAGTGACACGGGTCACCGTGTAAAGGATAAACGCCATGCAATGGGAACGAAAAGGAAGCACATATAGTCTGCTGAGTAGCAGTAATGCGAAGAGTGTATTCAGCCCGATACCCTTGTAGTTTGATAACGAGGCTACTAACGAGGTATGAGATGCTTGCGTTTTTTTAAAAAAAGAAGAAGCGAATTCTCTACTACAGATTAAGGAGGAAGATGATCAAGTCTTGTGACATTTAAAAGAACGTTAATATGAAAGTAAAGATGATGTTAAAACTCTTTAGTATCTCTTTAAAAAAAAAGAGTTGAAGCACACGGGGGCTGACAAAGGCAATGTGTGCGGAAAAATCTAAAAGAGTACATCAAGCAACGTTATAGGTTAGAAGTGCTGTGAAGGAAGCGCAGTAAAAAGACGAAGATCTAACAGTTAAAAATACTCCCAGAATAAGAAAGAAGAATACTCCTCCAAAGGAATCGGCTAAACTCCATAAAGAAGTTGACATCACCCTCACAAGAACTAATTAAGAATTACGCAAAAGAGTGGCCTTTTTAATTAAAACAGGAGGCGACTCTTCCAAGAAGGCTTTCACCGGTAAGATGTACCTTACCATGGATCGAAAGGCCAGGTTTAAGATTCGTGACTTGTCCTGCCAAGTTAGAATGGGTCCAACAATAAACCAAGAAGATCGACCACAGATTGGCTGTATAAGCAAGATTAAAATATTTGAATCTTATTTATTGTTCGTTAAATCCGTCAGTTGTCAGAAAACTACCGGTTAGCTTCCTACAGCAGTCGACAAAAGCACGTTTCGGTTGTTTTGCTAAAAAAGTAAAAGGAACAGGGCAAAGCGAGCCATCGTAGGCAATCGTGCGTATACCTCGGTTTTGTCCCTTTTGTTAGTACAAAAATTTCATTAGTAATAAAGTAAATTTTACTAATGATAAAGCGTAGGTCTAACTGAACTATTTTCTATTGATGATAAAAAAAACAACAGAAAAGTGTATCCAGTAATTGTGCTTGAGGTATATAAATTCTCCTAATGAAAATATAACCAGTTAAAATTATAAAATATGTTATCTAGCTCTACATTTAGACTACCACTTATTAAATGTTTTAAATGCACCTGAATCAACATTATACACCAAAGAAATGAAACCCCAATGATATGGAAACTTTTTACTCCGTATTCACTTTATCAGTTTAAGTATTACGAGAATAAAATGTAATTCAATGCACAAAATACTTCTTTCAATGAGTACGGTTTTCAAATCTTGACTCAAAAGAAAAGCGGAGGTAGATTTTGATCTATTTGAAGCTTTTCCAGGCATTTGAAACCACAAGCATCATCCTTACATAAATTCAGAGATGTTTTTATCTATTAACAGTTTTACTCTAATATAATTCAGAATATGGAGAAAATTTAATATCAGTTTTAATCTGACACACAGGGAATTAAATGTTTTAATTCGTACTGTTTACATAATATATTCCATTTAATTTTCAAGCGATAAAATTGTATTTTAAATGCAGTATGGTTAATATAAGGTTTAATTAATTTTTTCATGTAAACCTCTTATTAAATCGTAAAGAAAATTAATAATAAAGTTTATTTAATAATTTTATCGTACGCACTAGAAAATAGTATTAAATTTGTTGTCTGGATTTTTAAAAGTTGAATTAAAAAATATTTCTTTAATTAAATAAAGTTTTAAAATCCTAAATACAGAAAAATATCATGATGTGTATAAATCTATTTTAAATTCATAAGGAAAAGATTCAATTTTATTGCCTTCTCTCTGTATATAGGGTTTTGTTGAATGAATCAGAGCTGGAAAAGCATTGTCTGACGTTCAAGTCTCGGACTGTTAATTTATGTGACACTGATGTTCTTGCACTACTCAGATACAGTCGCTCTTATTTTACTGATATGTTTTAGTCTCACTTGCTGGTGACTATTTAACCTAATACTAATAGAATATCTATTGATTGTTCTACTCTTGTAAGGTCGCATTTTAAGCTGTCCTTTCAGATTTTGGCTTTCTAGGAAAGCTAGAGATGCATTTAATAAAAATTGCTCAATATCAAAGACTAAAAATCCAAACTTCATATATGTATTATATCTTTAATGCTATTGAGAGCTAATATTAATAAATACAACATTCTAAGTTTGATTTTAGAACACGTTTAAATTAATAAAAAATAAATATTTCTTAAATGTTTGTTTTATGATTTAAAAATAAAAATGTATTTTTAAGGCTGGCCTACATGGATTGACCGGAAGAATAGAATTTAACGAAGGAAAAAGAAATAATTTCAAGCTGGACTTGCTTAAGCTTAAAAGGGAAGACCTCGTAAAGGTTGGCGAATGGAAGCCAGGAAGTGGAGTAAACGTTACAGATGTTGGAGCTTTTTACGATACTGCAGCAACCAACATTACCCTTGTCGTAATGACGAGAGAGGTAAGATTTCTTTACTAAAAAAAAAAAAATCCCTCATCATATTTGTAGAGGCTTTTGTGATTCTCACTTCTCATAGAAAATTTGTCCTACTTAAGAATAAAAAAAAGCCTTGCGCAAAAACCAACTTTTAATGTTAACTTCAATTTTATCACAATAATAAAATATATTTTTAATTTTTAGGAGAAACCATACGTAATGGTTCGAGACGATAAGAATTTAACAGGAAATGCAAAATTTGAGGGGTTTTGTATTGATTTATTAAAGTGGATAGCCGGACAAGTAGGATTTCAGTATGTTATTCGATTAGTGCCTGATCATATGTACGGTGTATACGATCCCGAAACGAAAGAATGGAATGGAATCGTTCGAGAACTTATGGAAAAGGTAATTACTTGGCGATAATATTTTATTCCGCTTTATATGATTTTTCAAAAATACTTTTTAATAATTTAAAGAACTTTTAAAGTAACCTGTCTGTTATAAAAGTTAGTGAGCTCGCTAAGCCTCTATGTTCTTCCAGAAGTTTTAATTGGGTCAATAGTACTTAATTTGATAGTTTGATAAATCAATAGATGTATTTTATTCTTTAAAAGGGGATACACATCTTAAAAAACTGAGAAAATTAGGAATTTTTTTATTTTTATTGATGCAACTATAAAACTTGAAATATTATTACTATTGTTACGCCTCAGAACGAAACCAATATATGAATATAACCTAAGATTATTTATTAAAAATGGCCCGGCCTGGGTGATTGAAAACTGATTTATTCACAGAGCGGAAGGATCTTTGATATTAAGGGACAGCTTTTAAGAAAATATAAATACGTCGCGATGACATGACACTATTATTACCATTTATTAAAATAAGTTTTGTACACTATTGATTTTTTATAATAAATTACTTCTGTTACTTAAATTTAATTCAATAAAGATAGTAGATTTACTTCTATTTAATTTATCTATTCCAAAAATATTCCTTTCACTGAAATATAGAAAAGCTGTTTTAGAAAAATAAAATATATATTGTATATCAAATAATAAATTGCAGTATGTTATTGAGTATGAAAAATTACGTTTCAACATAATTTCTTTTAATCAATCTTCAGTCTTGATCAGAAATAAACAAAATAAAAAATTCTACTTCCTGTTATGAGAGTATACAAGTTGTCGAAAACGTATAGTTTCGAGAATGAAAGAAGCTTATAAACAATAGAGTCCAACAAAAGAACACAAAAGTTTTTCTCTGTTTTCAAACAATAAGGAAAAGATATCTTGAAATTAAAAAAGGAATACGAGGTGAAGTGGCAAAGTAGAAAGCATGAAAGACTCTATAGAGAAACTAGAGTTTTTTTTACAAAAATCATCATTAAATCTAAGTCATAAAAATATTCTAGAATTTTTTATATATCAAGAATTTTTTATTTAGAATTTTTTTTTATATATCAAGAAATTCTTTTATTATTATTTTATATTATTTTAGACTCAAAACATGAAATGTAATATGTAACATTACACTTTTTATCTAAGTTTAAATAATTTTTATGTTTTGACATTAATAATTAAGGAAACTACTCTTTGGAAAGTACATTGTAACTAGAAAATTATTTTTATTGTATAAAAAGAATAAAAATAATTTTTATTTCAGAGAGCAGATTTAGCAGTTGCATCTATGACAATCAATTATGCGAGAGAAAGTGTAATAGACTTTACTAAGCCCTTCATGAATCTAGGCATTGGAATTTTATTTAAGGTGAGTAATTTATAAATAACTGTATTAAATAAAATAATAATAAGTTGCTTAAATATTAACCATAAGAAAGTATATATAACCAATTCCGCTTTTATGATTTATCCATACTGTGGAATGATTTACATATTCTGGTGGATTTTGAATATCGATTTTTATCTGGAAAAAATTCTAAAAGCAATTACACACAAAAATAAGGTTCTTCTTTGATGTACCTATTATTTGTACTGCATGGTAAACATTTCTAAATGGAAGAATTAGTTTACTTGTACAAAAATTTATTACATAAATTTTTACATACATCAGGGTCTACAATATGTTACATAATTATAGTCAGTATTTACAAAAAGAGGTTTTATTTTTATTTGAAAATGAAACCGTTGTAGTTACATTAAAAAGTTGCAAAATACATATATGCTTTATCGAATTATGTGAATGTAAATATCATTTTATTTAATTATATAGGAAATTAGTTATTCAATTATAATAGATTAAAATTAATAATAATTATATAAACGTATATTATTTAATTTCACTAAAAAAATTATTCCATTTTAGGTATTACATTAAGTTTTGTTAGTTTTGTTAGACTGCTCTTGATTTCAAAGGAAATAAAGTGATAAATATAAATGGACAAGTTTATAAATACTCGCAATTAATTAATTACTCACAACTTGCACAGATTAATGAATGATACTTTGCAAGCGATTCCATTTATTCTGTACGCTAATCGATCACATATCGAACTGTTGTCTCTGCCATGACGTGATGGTTTATTGAGATAGGTTTATAGTACTTTTTCAAATAACAAGTTCTTAATTTGCTTATTTAATAAAAAAAAACCGCTGCCAAGTTGTAAATTTTTTTTATAATTTTGGTGCTAATTTCATGAACACTTTGCTTCCTCATAGAGATAAAAATACTTCCTTTATAAGAAAGTTATAGTAGAAATATATAAATAACTTTTTATAAATATGTTTTTAAAATACCAATAATTTCGAAATTTAGCATTGAATTAGGTTCAAAAATAGGTCAATCGAAGCGTTTTTTAATGCTCCACAAGTTGGTAACGATAATTTTAAAGTTACTTCTACATATTTCAACAAAATATTCAAAAAGTCTTATTTTCCAAAATTTTTGATTTTTAAAAATTTAATATCTCCGGTTAATGTGGACAAAAAATGTTCAATTAGGACTCAAAAGATGCGTCTAAAAAAACTCTACAAAATTATGAAAAAACAATTATAGGTGTCCTAACATTTTTTTAAAGTTATGGGCAAAAAACGGGACGCATGATTATTCCCCAAATGTCATTTTTCCGAAATGTCATTTTACCGAACTGCACTTTTGCGAATACTCATTTTTGCGAAAAGCCAATTTTGCGAAATGTCACTTTCGCGAATTGTCATTTCTTCGAAAAGCTATTTTTGCGAATTGTCATTTTTGCGAATCGACATTTTTGCGAATTGTCAATTTTCCGAAAAGTCATTTTTGCGAATTGTCATTTTTACGAAAAGACATTTTTGTGAAATGTCATTTTTGCAAAAGACATTTTTGCGAAAAGTCATTTTTACGAATTGCCATTTTTGCGAATTGTCATTTTTAAGAAATGTCATTTTTGCGAATTGTCACTTTTGCGAATCGCTATTTTTACGAATCGACATTTTTACGAATTGTCATTTTTGCGAATAGTCATTTTTCCGAAAAGTTATTTTTACGAATTGTCATTTTTGCGAATTGTCATTTTTAAGAAATGTCATTTTTGCGAATTGTCACTTTTGCGAATCGCTATTTTTACGAATCGCCATTTTTACGAATTGTCATTTTTGCGAATTGTCAATTTTCCGAAAAGTCATTTTTGCGAATTGTCATTTTTACGAAAAGACATTTTTGTGAAATGTCATTTTTGCAAAAGACATTTTTGCGAAAAGTCATTTTTACGAATTGCCATTTTTGCGAATTGTCATTTTTAAGAAATGTCATTTTTGCGAATTGTCACTTTTGCGAATCGCTATTTTTACGAATCGACATTTTTACGAATTGTCATTTTTGCGAAAAGTTTGCTGCGCAAGCGGACGGTAAAGACTACTTTCTCGTCCTAGGACCGTAAAACTACTACTTGAAGCAAAGCCATGCTTTACCTCTCAAAACGCACCGAGTAACCGCGGATTACATTCTCGTTTTGTATAAAATGTCGTGTGTACCTCGGACGCACGCATTTCTCGTCCTCGCTTGTTTACAGTACTCGGCTTCGCCTCGTACTGCAAAATCAAGCTCGGACGAGAAACTTGCGCTTTGCGTCCTCGTTGCACAATGTACTATTTCGCAGAAATGACAATTCGCTAAAATGACTTTTCGAGAAATTGACAATTCGTAAAAATGGCGATTCGCAAAAATGACTTTTCGCAAAAATGTCTTTGGAAAAATGACATTTCACAAAAATGTCTTTTCGTAAAAATGACAATTCGCAAAAATGACTTTTCGGAAAATTGACAATTCGTAAAAATGGCGATTCGCAAAAATGACTTTTCGGAAAATTGACAATTCGCAAAACTGACAATTCGTAAAAATAACTTTTCGCAAAAATGACTATTCGCAAAAATGACAATTCGTACAAATGGCGATTCGTAAAAATATCGATTCGCAAAAATAGCGATTCGCAAAAGTGACAATTCGCAAAAATGACAATTTGCAAAAATGGCAATTCGTAAAAATGTCTTTTGCAAAAATGACATTTCACAAAAATGTCTTTTCGTAAAAATGACAATTCGCAAAAATGACTTTTCGGAAAATTGACAATTCGTAAAAATGTCGATTCGCAAAAATGAATTTTCGGAAAATTGACAATTCGTAAAAATGGCGATTCGCAAAAATGACAATTCGCAAAAATAGCTTTTCGAAAAAATGACAATTCGCAAAAGTGACATTTCGCAAAATTGGCTTTTCGCAAAAATGAGTATTCGCAAAAGTGCAGTTCGGTAAAATGACATTTCGGAAAAATGACATTTGGGAAAAATCATGCGCCCCGCAAAAAACGTTTTTTTTTGCAAATTTAAAAATCCAAAACTTCCTTTACGAGGAAGTAATTATCCAGTTAATTTTACAGTCAACATAAGTTTATTTTCGATTGACAATCACATGCTCTAGAGCTATTGTAATAATTTGTTTTATTAATATAGAACAATAAAACTTTTAATTTTTGATCTGATGTCCAGAGTTTTCTCAATTTTTTTTCGTTAAACAAATTCAAAAAATAAAATAACGCTGAATACTAATTGGGTAACACAATTAACAATCTATTTCACGTTTCCCAACTAGTTAAAATTCTTAAGAAGCAAATTCTTACTAGCACAAATGACTATCATTTTACTGAAAAGTAGGTCGAATGCGAACTTTAAATCTTTTTCTGAAAAGAAACGAAAGCAGATCAAGAAAGAAGGTAACGTCGATATGTGACCATAATCCAGCGATGACACCTAGTGACCACAATTCTCTTTTTTATTGGACCACATATGACCTTCTGATCCACAGACTTATCCACCCTATTTATGCTTGCAGCCCCTTTACTAACATCCGCAGAGAAAACTTTCTTATTAGAGTCACCTCCTAGTTATCTATTAAGTAGGTAAAGGACGGGTAGCAAGCTGTAAATTAATTGAGGATATCATTAGGTAACTCAGTAACTTCCTTTGAAAGAGGGGCAAACGGATGTGACGAAGCAGAACATGTGCGATGATCCATGGTTTCTCGTTAAATTTAAGGTGGAGATCCTCGATGAGTATTTAAGCTAAAAGCTGGAAATTCTCATCCTCGTATATAATAGTTTATTAATAATGGTAATTAAGCAATTAAATTGAGATACAAAGTATTTAATGTTTATTCAACAATGACAAAATAAGTTTGAGATATTTCTGTCATCGAACCTGACGAGTTACTGCATTGACAGTGTACTGCAAGCAATGTCCTAGGTTCGGGCCTAAATCTGCCTAGGACGACCGTCATAAGGAGGTCTCCCTTTTTAGTGGGTTAACTGGTTAACTCCCTCAACCCTTGTCTGACTTGCCTCCAGATCAGCCTCTTCACTAACTTTCTTCAGCACTTTGGTGAATTATTGAAAACTATTAAAATGGTTATTATTAATCAGTCAGGTTGCGACTGCTAGAATATTGCAGTCACAAATAATTGTGTGATCTATTTGCTATCATAAAATTGCTATCTTTTGTATTCACAATCGCTACCATAACGAAAGGCTTCTTGTATTCTTATACCAAAGTAAAAAGCGTAGTTTTCTCGAAAGTTGTTCAGCGCATATTGGGTAATAATTAATTCGAATCTGAGTAACAAGTGGTACCCAGAGTGTCAGAAAAATAATGATAGACTTCAGTAAAATATCTTTCGATATTTTGTCTTACACATATTAAAATCGCAAGTTTTAATATTATGTATTAACTGTATTGTTAATATACGTTCCAGGTTAATTACTGTTAGTACAAATAGGATATCTTCAAAGGTTTCGAAATAAATTGTAATTGAGGTTAGAATAAGTAATCCGAAAAGGAAATATCAGTATTTCTCAAGTCAGATAGAGGCAAGGTGTATTAAATTCCCAGAAGATACGAATGTGGTCTATAATGATCTGTTCGAAGTATTTATAAATTCAACAACAATTTCTAAATTCTCTTAGAGTTCACAGGAATTTAGATATTAAAAATGGAGCATTACTCCTTCTCCTCAGCAAACCAAAATTACCTATTCGAATTATCCATCCGAGTCAATGGAGAGTTTAAACAGCAACGAATTCTCTACTAAACTATCACCTTTGGCTAGTCTCTGTGTGTTGATAATAGTTTCGTTCCTCGCATCATCGATTCGCATCGTTGGGTTTTGGTCTAGGCGGAATGTCCCTCGAGAAAAGGGGTAATTATTGGAATTTAATAAACTAGTGAATTGAGAATTGACTATTAATATTTTTTGATGAAGAGTTTTAATTGATTATTCAAAAATTTAATTTCAGTTTACAAAATCGATACGATGAACATTTTCCACAAAATAGAATTTTCAATTTGTCTACGTCAAAAAGGAGGAAAGTTAAATTATAAAATTCTATTTTATACGCATGTCTTTTTACTATATCAATATAATGCCGCTCAAAATCCTCATGCGCATGAATTAAGGTCATCATCAGCATCAGAATCCAAAGAATAATTGATAGAAAACATTAAGTGAAAACAATAATGAATTCAAAGGCTAAATTCAAATAAAGCTGTTCAAAATCACATCGTCCAGGGTAAGGTCCTCTGCAAGCGGTTACGGCTTCATTCCGAGCTACGTCTGTGAATCCATAACAAAATTGAATAACAAAGTAAATATAGAATAATCAACAAAAATTTATTAATTCTGTTTATGTAATTTTAACTTTATTTTTGTGTGTAATTGCATATTAAAGCGTATTTGTCAAATATGTGACATAATAATATTGACTAAATATAACTCACTTTATTCATAAACGTGTGATGGAAAATATTGGGGGAACCGTTTTAATTAAAATCGCAGCGTAACATAATTTAGGTACCATCTAGTCAACCAACCAGGCTCTTCTCGTTCATGAATCCCCTGGCTGTGGAAATTTGGTTATACGTATTGGCAGCCTATATGTTGGTTAGTTTTACTCTCTTTGTGATGGCACGATTCAGCCCCTACGAATGGCATAATCCTCATCCCTGTCTTGGAGAAAGTGACATTATTGAAAATCAATTCACCGTCAGCAACAGTTTTTGGTTCATCACAGGAACATTTCTGAGACAAGGAAGCGGACTCAACCCAAAGGTATAATCAACGAGGTGCTTCTTCATGGATTTCTTTTCGTTCATCATCATTCTTGATTATCGTCCTACCCATTCCCCGCTTTATATTTTTTTTAATGATTGAAAATTTTGATAAAATAAATGAACATTTAAACTTAATTATTATAAATGGTAATTTTTCGCACAGAAAAAATAATTTTGGTAAACAATGTTTAGAGTTAATAGACATGTTAATTAAAAACGTATGATTGCTTCAGGTATCCGGTCGTATGCCTTCGCGACTCTTCTCATTTATGAATCCTCTCGCCGTGGAGATCTGGTTATTCATGTTGGGTGCTTATGTTATGGTGTCATTAACAATTTGGATAGTGGCAAGATTTTCGCCATATGAATGGGTTGAACCAGAACCATGTCCAAGCTGCAAGTGTCCACTACAGGTAGGCTCTTGCCAAGTGGTGCTGAAAATAAAATTTATAAATCAAACCCATTTAAATAATTTCTTTCATGTTCGCCAAATAAGCTGCAAGTTTCTCAAAAGTTTTAGAATTAAAAGTTAATATATGAAATTAGTTTGTAATTGTGAATATTTTTTTCAACTAGAGACAAATTTCTTATTTAAAAACGAAAAAAAAAATTAATTTCACTAAAATGAAATTGAAATAAAGAAATTTTTTAAAGTAAAGAATGAAGAGAACCCCGTGTAATTGCTCATTTGATTTCGCATCACTTGGCGGGGGCCACAAATTCATCAGGGCGGTCATCTCAGCGTCTTAGATTCTAGCAGCGATGACATCCCATTGCCGAGAACCGTCAATGATTTCACCTTGGCCAACAGCTTCTGGTTTACAGTTGGCACCCTAATGCAACAGGGAAGTGACCTTAACCCAAAGGTAATAATGTCACACAGAGTCGGCTCTTTAAAAAAATTTAACTGGAGATCGCAGTATAATACTAAACCAAATATTTTTAATCTGCAAAAAAGTAATTAACAAAATTTTCCGTTTACCTTTAATTTTTGGACAAGAAAATTAATTTCGAATTTACTTACTTTAATCACTAAAATTATTAATCGAACATAAAAATGAATTCTTTTGTTGGTCATAAAAAATTTTCTTTTTTGCTTTTGCTTCTTTTTGTTGAGCTCTTTTCAATTTTCGAGACTTTGTTGTGACCTCTCGCGTTTTTAAATTCGAATTAGTAACGCGCTGCTAGTCGACATCTTCACACATTTTTTGTGCATGGGGTCCAATTTTTAATTTAAAAATTTTTATTATACCGTAAAATATTATTATAATTGTCATTGAAAATACTTGCAGCAATAAATGTTGCAATTTCGACTATTTTAGGACCGTTCGACGTAACTTTTTGATGACTTCATTCTTTGAAATTAAGCAAAAAAGAATTTGATTTTTAAAAAGTTTCAGAGTGGTCTAATCCATTAATTATGAATCTTTATATAGTATTCTTTTGCGAGATCTTATATTTAGCACCATATGAAAAATTAAATAATGTCATTCATATTCACGCATTTTTTAAAAATTCATAAACCTCATAATTAAAAAGAAAATTGTAAAAAAGAACAAAAAAACTTGACTGAAAAATACATTATTTTATTGCTTTTCAAAATGCATGTTAACCCTGCATGTAATCATACATTGCAAGCCAAAGCACCTTATGTTTACTATTTTTTGCAGAGCTGTAATTTATTTTTCACTTGTTTTAATTTTAACCAAGTCTCATTCTGTTGAAAGAGAAATAATGTAAAATTTCATATTCAACAGTATATATATTTCTTTACACTCGAAAAAATTTTAATTAATTTTCTTTTTATTGAAAATTAAGCAGCATGCCTCCTTTATTTCAAATAAAGCATATTGTCTCAATATTGCTCAGAAATATTCACAATACTAATTAAATATTGTTGTCAAATATACTATTCGACTGTTAATTAAACAAATTTTTTTTACCTTTTGTTCTGTCTTATTAAAATTTTAATTTAAATCCTTTTAATTAGTTAAGACATCCTAATTTTTAAATCTGCTATACAATGAAAAATGCACGTAATAATTAATTTAAGTTTACTTTAATTTTATCATGAATAAATTTCTTTCCACATTTAAAATATACGAAGTTAAAATAAAAACCATATTCCATGAAGGTAAGAAATAAAATTTTCAACTCCTACACACGCCTTTTTTTATATGTTTAAAGATAAAATATCTATCAGAAAAAAATGGTTTCTAATGCATTAATCATCGTCAAATCAGAAAGTATAATTTCTTATGATTTGAATTACAAATCAATAAAAGAGTGCTGTTATAGAATGTGGGATTTAATTCAAAAAATGTATTTGAGTCAATAATGATGAATTTAAAAGTATTTTTATTGATTCAGATGTCTTATAAATTTAGAGGAATTGAAATTGCATTGTTGAATTATGATTAGATTGGAAAATAGACAGATTTATTAAATTTATATTTATGAAACATTTACAATTATTATTAACTGTTATTATTAACTGGTGCCAAAAATTTACAGATACTCCAAAAGTACTCATAATGATTGAGGAAAATTTACAGATTTTAAACATATGGTGCTAGCCGGCTCTGTGGGCATGTATATACATGCAGGGTTATCGTCAAATTTCCTTTTCTCTGCCCATGGAATATTTAAACTGCAGAACCTGGTAAATTTGTTGTGAATTTGAAAAAATTACAATTAAAACAATTCAGTAAATAAATTTCATGTCAGAGCGGTGAGCTGTGGAAATATAATTTACCTAGAAATTTTTTAGTCTAAAATATTTGGGTACGAATCTGTAACTTCACTTCACTCTCATGTCACTTTCAAGACACTTTCACTTTCACTTTCTTCTATTCAAAATTTTATAAAATTAATATTAAAATTCAAAATGGCGTATCTTCAACCATTTTCTTTAAAAAAAACATTGAAAATTACTGCAAAAATTCAATAAAATCTCTTTTTTCACATTCAATCAGTTTTTGGGTCCATTAATTATTTACACATTCACTTTATTATTTTTGTATTTGTTTTTTTTAGATGAAAAGGAAACTTTTTCAGCCCGGCACTCATTGATATTAAATAATTTTACAAAAATGGCCAGGCTGTTATCCAACAGATTTCAATTATTTTAAAAAAATGGTACTATTCTTAAAAATTTTATTAAATATCGTCAAAAGAATTTAATTATTTAAAAATGTGTTAATAAAATGCTTTAAAAGAATTAAATTTGAAGAAACATTTAATTATACAATAAATAATTTTCTTTTGTATTTGAGTAATTGAATTCTTGTAGAGTTTTCTAATAAGTTAATTGAGATCAAATTTTCAACGAAAGTCTATAATACAATAAAGAAGGGCAGTGATGTGCAAAAGATTTAATATTTTGAAAATTAATTATTACAAATTACTTTAAAATTATCAGTTGTCACTGTCACTTCTAATCAATTTCTCGTCTCTTCCAATTTCAAAGTGCTTTATTATAATTTATTTTTGAATTGTTAAAACTTTTCCACATTACTGCCCTTCTTTATTATATTTTAGACTTTCATAAAAAATTTCAGCTCCATTTATATTAAATATTTAAAGAGAAAAGTGGTCGAAAAAATTACCATTGAATTTCTAACAGACACATTCTGTTAATTATTAAAAATTACAAATGAATAATGAACGTTAATAACAGTAATATTAGGAAGAATAATAAATTTAAATAATTAAAAAATATAACAAAGAAGTTTTCATCTCCCAATATTCAATGTGCATATTTTAAAACATACATAAAAATAATATTATACTTTTATAAAAAGGCGAATTTAATTCCTTTGATTCAATTCTAAATAAAAAGTATACAGTAACTTTGTTTTAAAAGGAAACTTTTGTTGGCATTATATGGTGATTCCTGAATACTGCGACCATGTGAATTACAATAGTCTCGATTGCAAAAAGCTAACACTTTAAACTATATATACATCGCTGTGGAAATTCCATGGGTAGAATTATTATTCCCTCTAGGTTCTTATAATTCGATTTTAATACGCGTGTTGAAAGTTTTATGTATATATATATGTATATAGTTAAATAATGTCTAAAAAAATAAAATAGTAGAAAAAGCAGAGAACGACACTTTAATGTGGAATTTCTGAAATCTAGTTTCCACATCGTACGAATGTGAACAAAAGCACAAGTTGAACATTTGGAACACGAGTTTGAGAATATCTTTCATGCGTGGGAATGGATATGACATTAATAATAATTTAACTTTTTCGTTTAAATGCCACTTTTTAATTTTTAATTTTTTTTCTTCCAAGAAGTAAATAACTAAATTTAAAAAACGTGTTTATTAAAAAAATTATCATTCATCGACCAGGAATAGAGTTGATTTATTTAAAAATAATAAATTATTGATTTATCACGATTTTTGCAGAGTGTAATAATAATATGCAAGAATATGTTTTAGCAAAAAAAAATGAATTACAAAGATAAGAAATTTACCTTACAGAAGAAAAGTTTTAATAATAAAATGTGATTATTCCTGTGATTATACTCAGTCTTTCATGAAAAATGAAAATCTTGAATAACAACTCTACGCAGCTTTCTCGTTTGTAAAATATGTTTATTCAATAACTATGTAAAGAACACGAAACGTAGAGTGGATATAAAATGAGGTTCCTTTTAATCTTGCTGTTCATCTCTCTTTCTCTCCCCTTTTTCTCATTTTCAACAAAGAAAAAAATAAATTCTATTAAAAAATTTAAATTCCATTTAGCGTTAAATAACATACCTAAAAAATGTTATCATATAATCGAATTATTTTTATATAATATATAAAAATAATAATAATATATGATAATAATAATAATAATAATAATAATAATAATAATAATAATAATAATAATAATAATAATAATAATAATAATAATAATAATATATAATATTATATTACAAAATAATTTCAGATATTTTAGAAAAAGTTTAATAATTTTTTTTTTTCTGAAACAAAATAATTTTTATTCTTTACTTAACTTTCATAGAGTGTCAAGAATGAAAAGTTTTTTTTTTATTGAAAAATCAACTCTATTTGTGGAAATAAAGAGAAAAAAGTTATTTGCTTAATTTTTAATATCTACATACATGTTAACTGTTGTAAACTGTAATAATTTATTTATTTACTTTATTTATTTATTGATTTATTTATAATCAAAGTTTCTAGGATTAAAAATAAAGCCCTAGTGTATTTAAACTAAAACAGATTTTTTTTTCTTTCCGTTTTCAGGCAACTAGCACGAGAATAGTTGGTGGAATTTGGTGGTTTTTTACTTTAATTATTATCTCTTCATATACGGCGAATCTTGCTGCATTTCTTACAGTCGAAAGAATGATAACGCCGATTGAAAATGCAGCTGATCTGGCTGAACAAACGGAAATAGCTTATGGAACTTTAGAAGGAGGGAGCACAATGACATTCTTTAGGGTAAAATTTAATTCTTATTAAGAAGTTAGGGGGGCAGTCAACATCATGAAAAAGTGAACATTTTAGATAATTTCAAATAGCAGTTTAACTTTTTTTTTAATTAAAAATATTAAAACTAATTGAAAAATGTTTTTACAATTTAGTTTAAGTGGACCAGATAAAAGAACCTGGTTTCTGAAGTTGATTACGAATCTTAAGTAAAATTTTAATAATTCAAAATGGCGGATCCAATATGGCGGATCAATTTTAAGAAACAATTAGAACTCTTATGAAACTTGGTATTTGAGGAGTTTTTAGGGTCGCTCATAACGAATTTCACATCATATTTCCAAAATTCAAAATGGCGGATCCAATATGGAGGACAATTTTTTTAAAAAACTTGTTTTGTAAATTATGACTGCCCCCAACCCCATGATTTTTATTTTATTAATTAATTTCCACTAAATTGAACTTTAATTACATAAAATAAAATTGTAAACAATCTTTTTAAGTATCAAATAAGAATTTCATCTTTATACAACAGGATTCTAAAATTGGAATCTACCAGAAAATGTGGAGGTTTATGGAATCTAAAAGTCCTGCCGTTTTCGTTTCATCGTATGAAGAGGGAGTGAAAAGGGTTCTTGAAGGAGACTACGCTTTCCTAATGGAATCAACGATGTTAGATTACGCGGTTCAAAGAGACTGTAATCTGACCCAAATCGGAGGATTATTAGATAGCAAAGGTTATGGAATCGCTACTCCAAAAGGTAATATTAAACCTGATGTTTTTTTTACGATTCACTCTTCATAAAACCTAAGTTACATATTTATTCTCTTTTTCAAATTTGGAAACTTAAAAATATTTTCTAAACGTAAAACTGATTATAAATAATTTTTTCATCTTCTTTAAATAATTTTTACTATAAGGATTCATGCTTATTTTATTTTTTTTTCTTAAAGGTTCACCATGGCGAGATAAAATATCGTTGGCCATTTTGGAACTTCAAGAAAAAGGTGTTATACAGATCCTCTATGACAAGTGGTGGAAAAATACGGGCGACGTGTGTAATAGAGACGAAAAAAACAAAGAGAGTAAAGCAAATGCATTAGGAGTGGAGAATATTGGTGAGTAGATGATCAGATTAAAAATAATTCCTAAAAAATTCTCCTACTTTTCGGCAAATTTCCAAACTATAGAGGCAGACAATTAGGAAATTAATTTTTTTTAACATTAAACAGAGAAGAGATTGTAAAAAAAATTAGCAAAATAATGAACTCAAAAGACACTTATTTAAAACCTCGAATAAAAACAAATATTTTGCAGAATTATTTATTCTCCCTAAAATCAATAAAGAAAAGTTAAAAACAATACGAAATTGAAAATACAATTTATGTAATATTTCATTAATGGTTTATTGATTTTAAAGCAAAAAAAATTATTTATAACCACGCTAAACTATTACAAGTTTAAAGGTTTCCATTTTTTTGTGGGAAAAATTATTGTAGTACAAGAGGAAGCTTTACTCGATAATACAGAAAAGACACTTCTATTAATTTAGCTTTAACGGAAAACCACAAGGTTAATTCGTAAAATCATTGGTTTATTACTTTATCAAGAATTCCTGATAAGACCACAAAAATTTCTATAAAAAAAAGATAATATTAGAATTAGAACAAAAGTGTGATTAATTTATTTTTAATAAGTTTGGAATTTACTAAAATTGAGAAAATATTTAGAGCGTTGAAAAAAAATTTATTCTTTAAAGTTTTCTTTGAGTGATGAACATATTTGAAGGTAAGAAAAAATGGGATATGTACAAGGAGATCAATAGAAAGTCATGTGGCTAAGACTTTGGAAGCAAGCAATCTTGATTATTAGTGATAGTGTCTCAACACAGTGGAAAGGGAAGATAAAATAAGTTTATAAGATAAAAGATATTCGAATTTTCCATTTTTATACAAAGATTTTTTTTTTTAAATTTTACATATTTTTATAGAAAGTGACATTATGCTATGATGTCAGAATCGAAGGAAAGAAAAGGTCAGAATATAGAAACAAATCAATGTTTGTCCTCTCGTGGAATTCATCCATTTATAATAGCGATAGGTAATCTCCATCTAGATTATCATTTTTATTTTTTTTATGAAATATAGTTGACTGGAAGAGCAAATAGAGAAAATCTGAAAATAGTGGTCGAATTCCTGGTTTAAGATCCATTTAGCAGAGGTTATGATATTATTAATAATAATTACTTTATTATTACATCGACGGTATAAGAACATTTTATAAAATTAGCTCGTTACCGTTTTAGAAATTCTGATAGAAATTCCACAGCGTCTGAACCTTAGCAAACAGTTTTGTGTTGCTTTTACAAGTGAAAATAAAAACTGTAATTTAAAATGCAACTTAACTTTATTTTCATCGTTGCAACTCACAGTTCGAACTCGTCAAATTAATAATTAGTAATCCGTTGTCTATTTGAACGTATTATCCCTACAGCGATCCTCCCCCATCATTATGTCCCACTCTCCGACATCTCTTATTCATAATCATGCTTTAATACCTCGATACCGCAACGCTACACTGCGTCGATTAGGTAATTTGAGTTCATTTAGATATCGAATTCGAATTGACTTTGACGTCAAATTTTCTATAATTTCGAATTCCAATTGATTATCGCGACAATTTCTTTTCGATTTCGAATTAATTTTTATTTGAACCCAAATTCATTTTGATATTCGCGTCAAAGTCAATTCGAATTTGAAAAGAAAATTAATTTGACACTAAAGCTTATTTAAATTCAAATTTAAAATCCGTTTCACGTAAAATTCAATTTAAATTTGATATTAAAGTAGAATCAAATTATACAATCGATAGCATAACATAAATGTGAAACTTGAAAAAAAAACAATTTCTGTTACTGCATTACTAGCATTGAGTCTCTTGTAAAATCAAATGTTTAACAAGAATATAAGTTTTTTGGGTCTCTAAAATCTTGAACTGCTTATATTTTTAAAGAATCTAGTTTTATTCCTTTATATCAGTGGTGACAAGTCCTAAATATTCTAATTCTGTTCGAAGGTATTCACATAAATTTTCCAAAGCTTCTTAGCCTTAGAAACTTTGTTTTTCGTAAATAAATTTAAATAAATCTGATTGTAATTTGATTGCTAAACCCTATAATTTTTCGACATTTGTTTTCTATCGGAATTTAGAAAATGTTTAATGTTGGTTATTCGAGATCTTCTCGTTGTAGTAAAATTACCAAAGCTGTTCGTTAGAAAATCATTTCATAAAAATCCATATATTTGAAAATTAAATGACGAGAAAAACAAAAAATTCACTGGAACATTAATTGGTCTGGCATTTGTAGTAATGATTTTCCCTTTCCCCAAATTTAAAGCTATGATTCGTCAGTAAAGTATTAAGATAATTTTTGGACAAAATTATCGTCAATAGTTCACCGTTATTCTTTTAACCTTCCTACGGTTTAATTAAATTGCAGAAATCGGTACCAAAATGGTTCAAATTACCCTGCATTCCTGCATAGAAAATTTTATATCTCAACAAGCTTTAATAGTTTTTTGGGTCGCTGATTACGAATCCGATGTCCATTTTTGAAAATTCAAAATGGCGGATCCAATATGGCGGACCTTTTTCAAAAATTTTTTATTCTTAATCAAAAAAATTACTTTGTTGTATTCTTTTAACACTTTTACTATGCTAACTGATCTGGTTACTATTTAAAATCTAATCTTGATGGTTTTCCACTACACATGACAAAATCTGTTCTGTGTTCTGTTTGCTAACACTGACAAACAGTTGATAAAATAGTTGGGCTATTGACTGTTGTGCAGCGCTATTTAAACTCTATCAAAAAAAAAAAAAGAATTGCTATCCTAAACTTTACTATCAATAGCGTTGAGTTAGTGGCTATTTGAAAGATAGTTTGACAGCTCGATCAAAAAGGAAAGTTACTCTTCCTAAAATTAACTCAGCTGTACGTTTGTTTTTAACGCAGCACTACAGCGCATTGGACGAACAGTTCTCTCAACAATTATTCAGTGTATCTTTTTAATATTATTTAAAAAAGAATTTATTTTAGCAAAATAATTTTAAAATGATTAAATTGAAACTCGTTTTGCGTTGATGGGATTTTTTTATTTCTGCTTAAAGTAGCTCGTATTACCAAAAATGCAATGATTCAGAAAAGTACTGCCGAGGTCGTCAAGTGACCATTAAAATTTAGGAAAATATAACTTCAAAATTCAAACAATTTCACACGGCAGTAACTTCATACATAAAATGACCACCTTCCACTCAGCTTTTCAACCCCGTGTGATGTAGATAGATGCAAAACGATACTGTAAAAGGAAAGATGATTTAACTAAATTATAGAAAAGAGTATATATTAGAAATAAATAAATCTTAGCAATAATATATAAAAGAACTAAATTTAGTTTACAACTAAAATTGGTAGCTGCTTTAAAGTTTAAAATTTAGTCACTTTTTAAATTAATCCAAATATTAAAAGGTTTTAAATTTTTAGTTTTTTTTTATTAAAAATAAACGAACAGTAGGGAACAAAAATTATTATCAATTTCAGTGAACTCTGTCAATTTTATGGCTAAATAAATAACAATTCTATTTGTATGCATGTAGGTTATCTTTCAAACCCAAGCAAGGCAGAAAGAGCTACATGAGAATTTCGTTTCCCTCACTTATACTAGTGTGCATTTCTCATTTCCTTTACCCTTTTCATCTATTCTTCGGCATAACCTTTCTTCCCTAAAATTCTCATCACATTTCGCTGACAACTTTTTTTCTTCGCTTTTTCATTTTTTCGCATAGTTCCCTTATTCAAACATACCTTTTATAAACTACATTTATTTACTTCCTTTTCTTAACATTTTTTTTTAAACTTTAAAAATACATAGTTTGAATGAAATATAGTATGTGATAATTTATCTTCTGCATCAAAATCAAAAATATATCTTTAATCCTACTTTTATAGTTGAGTGATAACAGAGTTCACTATGGTTGTTATACAATTTTTAACTTTAATTATAAGATCAAGTAATCAGCTACTGTATCAAGTAACACAGCTTATTTACTTTAAAATTAATTTTTGGAGCTGCTTCCTCATAGTTGGACATTTAACTAAATGCATCAACATTTCAATGAACTTGAATTTAAATATTTAAAATCTTTTAGTAAAGTGTTTCTGAAACATTCAGGAAATATTATATCCTGTGTGGGCAGATTATACTATTAATTATTCATTATTTATAATTATTTTTATTAGAAGAAAAGATTTTTTACTAGTATTTTACAGTATAATAAACGTTAACTGACCTTTTGAAATTAATTTCAGTACATAACTTGACTAAAAGTTAGTTCATTCTAACCGTGTTAGTTACCAAGTCGTTGCTATTGTCATGAAGTACATGTTATGTTCGAGAGAGATGTTTTACTCATTAAAACTATATATACCATGTAGTATGTATAGTACAGAAGACTCACTAGCCTTGTCTCATTTCGTCTTACAGTAGATAGACACGAGAAAACGATATCATCTCAACACCAGGCAGCAGCGGAACTTTCACCCTCTTCCGGTTTCTCGGACGCTACCTACATCACTACATCCTGGAATTATGTAAATTCCAACGTCCTGACTCCTTATCTGCATCCTTCCGGATAAAACTCCCTGCTTCAAGTAGATTTTAATTCCTTATGTCGGACATTATTATTATTATTATAGTTCAGCAGACTTGAAACAAAATTTTTCTGGATAAATTAAATCATTGGCAAAGTTTTGTCCTGTGCGAATGTGGAACCCTTGCCAAAAATTTCCACTCGGTTTACGAAATTTTATTTTTTGACTTGGATACATGAAATGAGGAAAAAAATTGTTATTGGATAAGGATGTTTAGCGGGAACATAAATAATTTGTAAAGAATCAATTAAAATAAATATTGGGTTTGCATTAAAAAATGAAACACAAGGAACTCTTTTTACATTGACATATATATTTAATAATCAATTCGATACACTTCGAAAGAAAGAGTCAAGTTTGAAAAAGATAAAGTAATTTAACTGCTGCGAAACTTCGAGTACAACTTTTCGTGTTCGCGGTGGATTTGTGTCTGAAGTACCAAAAATCTTTACATTGCAATTTTCAAAACACTTTGCATTATTTATTCATTTTAATTTCATGCAAAATTTCATTTTCGAGTCAAAATACAAATATAATAAATGAATTAAATGTTGAGTTCGTAATTATTTAAAATCAACGTTAGAATATATACATGCATATACAAAAAAATACATAACTAATATTGTAAAATTATTATCATTAATTTTATGGATTAGTTGTAATTTTATAATAACATTTTTATCGAAATTTAATTAATGATAATAATAATAGATGTATATTTGAGTAAAACAAATAAGAAACAAAATTTAACTTTTTATTGTCATGATTAATTTGAATATTTCATTTTAATACTTTTTTTATTACCTTTTATTTACTTACTAAGCTATAAGCATTACAACAGAAATTATTCGCAAATGAAATTCATGTAGTGTAAAGCAGGTGGTGAGAGAGTGCTTAAATATTCCGGTAGGAAGACTTCAGTAAAATTTCCACTTTACGACTTTATGCAGAATTAATGCTTTTGTTTATTATCATATTATTTATTTATGTACTATTTCTATAATTCATTATTTTTACTATACATTAATGTGCGGGTATTTTCGAATAATAATACTGACGCGGAGTAATCGTTTATTTCATCGTTTTATTATTTTCAGGACCGAATGGTAACATCATTATTATATATAGAATAATAATACTGATGAGCATTATCGCAGATTTATGACAATAACATATGTCAAGTAAAATCCCTCAAATACAGATAGATTTACGTGATTGTATGATGAGTTCTTTATGCAAAGTTTTTCAATCATGTATGAAAGTATGAATGCACAATGTTCGTAATTCTGTTCCCATTTTATTATCTGTTAATTTATACTTCAACTGGAAATGAAGTGCTCTATTTACAATTTGTTTGAGCTACTAAAAGATAAAAATATTATTTATAAGACAAGATCTTTGTTCTATTTTGTTTAGTACAATATTTAATATTTTATTATTCAGAACTCTAAAGATTTGTAAATTGTTATATTTTGCCTAAAATTCTCAAAACTATACAACCAAATGTAAGAAAGACTATCTCGTTTACTTGAAAGTTTAAACTCAAATACCAGAAGCCAAGAAGCTAACGTGCAACAATATGTGCTGAGCATAGAGATGTTACTTGAGTTTTCCTTATAACCATATATAGACAGTTTACAACACAGATTCTTGCACAGCTTCAAAACTCTGTTAGCGCTCGAAAGTAAGGCTGGAGAAAAATATCTAAGTTTTGATAAAGTCACAGAGTTACTTCTACCTATGAATACATAGTAGGGACTTCTAGCACAGATGTCGTGTGTTACATGCAAGCAAAGTAATGTAGCACCTGTAACGATGTTTTTAAACTATATTAGGTTGGAATACTTTTACATAAATTAAAGTATTTTCACACATTTATTTTTAAAAACTTGAGTGGTACTAAATTCAAGTAATTTAAAAAGTAGCTTTTGAACTGATATCGCAATATTTGCATTTGACTTTTTGAATTTTGTAAATCTGACGTCGAATTCGTAATCAGCAATCCCAAAAACCCCCCGAGAAACGACTTTGAAGGGGATCCGTTAAATTTTTGAAAATTTGTCCGCCATATTGAATCCGCCATTTTTAATTTTGACAATCTGACGTCTGATTTGTAATCAGCGATTCCGAAAACCCCTAAATTCAAATTTATTTATACACAAAGTAATTAATAAATTAAGTCAATTGAAATTTCTTCGAAGCGCTTTTGTAGACAACAAATGTAAAGCAATAAAATAAAAAAATGATTATCAACTGAAAGAATTCCAAACTACAGATTTCAATTTACGTCTTCGTCAAATCATGAAGATTCATCCTTGATGACAATCGACAAATTTCTTCTGAAACTCAACGAGAATTTATAACTTTGACATTGTTAATTTGCATAATATTATTAGATATTCACAAATTCATTCTAAATTCTTGAAAACGATATAATCTTGAATTGTCGTGAAAAAAGAATATAAGTAAAAGAAAATTTAATTGAAAAACTCGACTCTCACGATTGAAACGATTCAATTCAGACAGTAACTTACACAATTCGAAAAAGTAAAAAGGAAAATCTATTTGTGTAGGAGTGAGAAGGGGTAAGAAAACTTCCCCGCGACGACGAACTCACGGTTCGCTGATGGCGGTCGTTGGATATTGCGCGCACGATTTCCCGTCTTGGTTCGAATGTTCTTTTTGCATTTAACCATCCTCCGCGTTCTCCTATGCCAAAGTTTTCCGTTCGTACAAAAAGAACCCTACAGGCAGTACCTTCCGCATTTTCTTTTATCATGAGATCTAAACACTAAAAAGTCAAAAATAAATTATAATTGAAAATAACACGGGCAATAAACGCAAATATTATTTTATCATTAAACGATTGGAAAAACTTTTGTAGTATCAGAAATATACATAAGAAAGTTAAAAGCTATTAACCTTGTGGAAGTGGAATGTTCTTTTCCGACCAAGTTTAGTAACCTAGTCTTCTTATCAATACGAAACAATTTATTTACTCGTTAAGTATTAATTCTTTTTTCTTGCGAATTGTTACAGGAGGTGTTTTTGTCGTCTTACTGTGCGGATTAGCTTTGGCTATTTTAGTCGCAATTCTTGAGTTCTGTTGGAACTCGAAAAAGAATACCCAGTCGGATCGTGTAAGTAATAAACATTTATTTATTTTAACGCATGTATGGTGGAACGATGATCATATTTCTAGTAAAATTAATAATTCATTATTATTTCTAAAAAGAAAGGGATATAGACTCCTAAAAGATATTTCTGGTAAATTAAATTACTATGTTTTCAATTTTTGCTCAAAATTAATATTCTTAAACTAATTTATGCTAAGCGAAAAGAAACGATCATAGAAAAAGTAAAAGAGAAGGAAATTGAAAATACTAAAACAATTTACCAGAATGTATTCTGCATGAAATTGAAGTGTATGTAGTAAATGTATATACACTAGCGCACACACATTGATATTGTACTGCATTTGTGTAACGCTCTAATTACAACGATAATTACGGATTATATTCAATTTAACAACGACCTTATCATATAGGATCTGATAACCTCCTTGTAAATCGAGTAACATTAATTACCAGACAATATTATAGTGTTTAATATTTGAAACAGTCTCTGTGTGCTGAGATGGCTTCAGAACTGCGATTCGCAATACGTTGTGGTCCTCGTCAAAGACCAACAGCAAAATCATGTTCTACTGCAACAGAGATATTATCCTGTAGTCGTTGCAGTCCACATTCCTCAATGCAGAGAAGTCGTTATTACTCTGGAAGTCAAGAAGAAACGACTTACGTTCCGAGCATCGATATCCCGCGATTAAATGGTGTAAGTCCAGTCCCTCAAGATAGAGTAGTACCGTAGTAAAGATTAAAAAATACTTCCAAAAAAAGCGTTATTTATGACCAACATTTATTCGCCATACTTTACAAAGAAAATTAATGGTAAAATGGCACTATAACAAATCGATTGTCAATTTTTTAAACTTCCCATCCTCTATTTGTAGTTTATGTCAAATACTTTAGGCCTTCTCGAATAAAAAAACGACATGGTAATAAATCAATTTTTCAACTTAAAAATTACAAATGAAGATATCGACAATTTGTTCATAATTTTTTCTTCTACTGATCTTTAATAAGTTTTTACATTTTTCACATCTGACTCAACATGTAAATATAAGCATCTGTTGATATTTAAAAAAAAAACATTCAATTTGCCTCTCAACTTATATTTTTAAAGAAGCTTTTTATTGCATGAAACATCAGCAAAAGTTAATCTTAATTTTCATATGATATTAAAAAAAGCTGCAAAAATATTATTTGTATTTGCACTTTGTGTGTACTTCTATTAATAAAATACATGTTATGTTATTGGCATATCCTTTCACATACAGTACACAACTTTTCTTTTTTCTTATTTTGATTGACAGAAAAGAAAAATAATTCATATTATCATTTGCTTCGACTAATTGATACAAATACACAGAAAAAGCAAAGTAATATTTATTCAGTGTATACACTTCTAAACTGCTTTTTTGTTCTTTATATGAAAAATTATTTTAGAAATGTAGAATATATTTAACTGTTTGCTGCATGAGGATAAATATTTGTATATTTGAACCCTAGAAACTTGTTTAAATCTAAAGTGTATGTTCATCAAAAGAACCAATTTTTTACCCAACTGAATATTATAAAAACGCTAAAAAATTATTTTACCTAACAAGCAACTTAAATTTATAAAACAATTCAAGCTTCATTATTAAAGATCCCACGAAAGCAATTTTCAACTCTGTTAATTAAAACTACATAAAAGTGGAAACACTTTCGTCTTGTAAATTCTTTTCATTAACTTTTTTTTTAATAAAAGAACTTGAACCTATCTACTAAGCTTATCTTGAAAGAAGCTTAGAGAAATGAAAGAAATTAATAAATTCATGAAAGATGTTATAAGTCACAATGAGAATGTAATTATGGACACTAACAAATAGAATTTTATAGCGGGAAATTGGTGCATTAGCGATGACGGAGATGAAGAAATCATTGAGCTTCGATCAAGTGACAGCGGACCATGCAGGGAATACCTAGCACAGGCTTCATCATCAACAACATCAACAGCGCAATCAGCCATGCAGAAACACTCCCACGCACACGCGTCATGTGCACTGCCACTCACATTCCCACAGTCACGGTCACAGTCACACGCACAAACATCAACATCCACTGAGACAGAGACGGGGCTCTTTAGGCACCGGTTTGGGTCAAGGTAATTAAAAGTTTTTCCTATTTTCATGGTATGATACATGGCAGTAAAAAATAGTTAAAATTTTAGACTCAAGAAGATCTGTATGAAAAAGTGTAAGATTATTAGTCAAAAAAACTTTCCCCTCATTACGTCACAAGAGGGAAGTGCATGGAGTGTATGGGATGGCACACTGCGGGTCCACGCATCTTTTTCCGTTTTTACCCATTACAGTGATAAATTTCTTATCATAATATGTGATGGTTGTAACGATGGGCTATATATAGAGAAATAGAATACGTCACACACACAGCCATCGTAGTCGCGTTCAGCGTGAAAGCTACGAGAGAATAGCGACCGACTTGGCTCGAGGTGCTCTTCGGGCCTAACAGGTACGAACTCACTTTGGGCATTAGACTCAGACAGAGGTGCTCTTCTGGTGAGTAAAATGCTTTAAGGGAAATGTTCGTTCTGCCCAGGTGCTCTTAGGTCGAACGAACTTTCTTTCTAGTACAAGGCAACTACCAGGGGTGCTCTCGTGGAAAGTTGACAAGTACGCCTAGTTTAATTAATTTCCATCCTCGAAATTCATATTCACTCGTTACCGCATACGGCAAGAATTTCGTCAGCTTCCGGAATTTGAATTAACCCCTATATGCTCCTTGGTTAATTCTTAGAAGTGCGCGCGCGCCATAGGCATCGTCGATCTCGAATAACGTGGAAACCTATTCTAGAACTGTTTCGCGAATATGAATTAAATGCCTGCATCAGATATGCAAAGAGAAGCGTGTAATTGCTTGTAACTAAAATCTAATGCAAACAAAGTATCGACTTAACTCCGCGAGAACCGATAATTATAAGAATTAGTATTATTCATTTAAATGAATTTCTAATATTAACTAAAGTATTTCTTTCGACGAGAAACAAATGTCAAATTCTGTTCATACTATTTTATATACACTATTTTTATATTTATACCTACTTATTGTTTTCTTACATTTCTTATTTTCATTATTGTTTAATATTTTCTTTTGATTTACAATATATTCACTTTCGAAGGTTTAAATTTGGACTCGTTACTGACTACACCTCTCCTCGAATTTCCAGCAGAAATTATAATTACGTAATGCTCAACCTAATATTCACTAATTGTTAGTTAAAGAAACTACGATAGGTACCCGGACTCCATCCGGCGAGCGAATTCCGTAGCAAATAAAAATCATATCATTACAAGATAATGGAATTACCTTTAAGGGTAATTCCATTCAACTAGAGGATTTTATGATACTTTTTTAAGCTGATATAAAAGATGTTTCTTTCAACCATTTTCTTTGTATGGAATGATTCTTTCGATCTCTACTCTCCCACAAACATGAAGAAATAAGGTGTTTTCGTAAAACCTGCTTGTTGTCCAAACATGATACTTATAATTTTTAAATCTCCATAAATTTTCCAATTATGTCCTTTATATTTAACTTTCTCCAAAACTAGTGTGACTGTTTCATAATCTTTTTTAAGTTTAGAGGCATGGGCAAATTTTTAAACTGAAGCTTGAAATTCTGCTACATCCTTGGCTAATTTCAAATCTCTTATGAGATTGCTAAGTCGACAAGAATTTACGTAAGATAGCGTAAAGTTTTGTGAAACTTTTTCTTTTTGTTGACCATCTGGAATGTAAATATCATCATCTTCTATAATAATACTAATCCCATCATTTATATCAGAATGTACATAATCTATTGATGTACTATCGACTTACATTTTTGTAGGAGAAAAAGGTGAATGACTCAAATTTTCGGGCTTTTCACAAATACAACACAGACGCATATTATATTCTTTTTATTCTTGTTATTCTAGCCCTTTACATTGGTAATGCAAAAGTTACAATCTTCTCGATTTTAAGGCTTTTTCTCACAATGTTGGTTTTCTTAAATTTAGGTGTTTACCCTCTTTTCTACCATTCCAACGAGTAAACATTGTGTGACAGGATTAGACAATCTTTGTATTTGATAGGCTTCTGGGTATTACGGATCAACGAATTTTTTTGAGGGAGTTAAGATTCCTCGGTATTACTAAAACCAAGAATGATGATTCTCCGCTTAACTTTCCAGTTAATGAAATTAATGCTTATTTTCTATCCATTTACGGTGACTCATCTTTCAATGTAACACCTCCCATTCTTTCTGAACTTCTTTCTGATATTGAATTTGATGATTCTCATTTTTTCTTTGAAGATATATGCCCCTCTGCTCTCGTTGGTGCTCTAAAATGCATTAAGACGGAAGCTCAGGGATCTGATGGTATCTCTATAAGTGTCGTAGTGAAAACCTTGCCAGCTCGGTTCTCACATATGCTTGATCTCTTTAATATGTCTCTTCAAGCCTCAGTCTTTCCTGACGATTGGAAAAAAACCTAATTAAGTGGGGCACCCTTCGGACTACCGACCTATTGCAATTCTCTGTTCTTTATCAAAGGTACTGGAAAGAATAGTATATAATCAGTTAATAAAATATATTGATTTGAATAATTTTCTTGATCCATTTCAATCTGGTTATAGAAAGGGGTTAAGTACTCAAACTCTTTTAATAAAGGTTGCTGATGATAAACTTGGGGCTGTCGATAATCGGATGGTAACTATAATAATCTTTTTTGATTTTAGTAAAGCCTTTGACATAGTTTCTCACAACATACTTTTTGTTTAAATTCAAATCATTTGGATTGTTTAGTTTGGTTTTGAAATGGTTTACTTCTTTTATCCTTCCGGTAGCAGTCAATCGGTTACTGGACACAATGGTGAATGGTCTCAGTCGGGTAATATTGGAACGGGTGTACCACAGGGTTCTGTATTGGGTCCTATACTATTTTTATTATTTACTAATGATTTGAGGTGTGTTCTTGAGTACTCCAAGTATATGTTCTATGTTGATGATGATGGTTCCACGTTTGGAATCTAAATAGTATTTAAATACTTGTCCCCCAGTTAAGATCAACAACACTGTGATTACTTATGTTTAATTCTTTAAAAATCTAGAAGCTATTTTTAGGTCTACTTTATTCTGGAATAAACTTATTGGTCACATTCATAAAAGTGTTTATCGTATTTATTCAATTATAATTTTAATTCCAGAACTTTTACTCTTTCTATAATTTTAATTATGTTTGGATTATACTCTTCTAAAGTAGATCCAAAAATAACCATGCATGTTCATGATAACCATGTCTTTTAAGTTCACATAAAACTATAAAAACTTTTAGCTATGAAGTCATGTGTGTAGAAATGCCGTCTAGTTTGAATTGCAATGCTGAACTAAAGGCATTCCATCAAGAAATCCTACGAATTTCGCTTTATCCTATGTCATGTGAAAATCATTAAGACTAGATGTAAGGACTTTGTTTGGAACTTTACGGTAGACAATGGAGTAAAATGTAGAAGGCTCCAGTGCACCGTCAATTAACTCTAAAAGGATCAGAGCATCTCTGGTACTTAAATTATGTTTATGGACATGGAAAAAGATTTCTAGATGTTTGTAATATTCGAACTTTGTTGAACCAATTGAATCATAAATTCTTTGCCTTTGCAGGTGAAAATGAAAACATTAGAAAAATTGAATTCCATTGATGAATTTTATTTACAGGAGGTGACCATCATGAAAATATTTTATGGAGGTTCGACTGCGACCTGGTGGGTGAACCTGATGTGGTGATTTCGCCGCCACCACCTCCACCACCTCCGCCTCCACCGCCACCATCTGCCTCGGTATCAAGAACTACAACCCTTTGACCAATACTAGAAGAGGTGCCGACAGGTGTACCCGTCCAAAACGAATTACCCACCCAAGCTTCCATGGTGATCATTAATGTCGATCAAAAAGAGACCTGTTTATAGCGCACGTAGTAACCGGATAGGTTTTAAATCTAAGTGAACAAAATCTCTTCCGGTAATTGAGAGTTATAGTGAATTCTAAAAAGAAAATAAGATAGGTTATTTTGAACACTAGACGATGAACAATTCCAAAACATTTGTAAAATAAAGCAAGTCAAGACCCAAGAAGAAAATTTCTTGAGATAAAATATCCAACAACAAAAAAAAACATCGAGAAAAGTTCTAATCAAGATGTAATTTTGTAAATAGTTGATTTGTAAGTTGACAAAATTTGTGATAAATTTACATCTAAGATCTCAATGGAATAAACATTATGAGGAAACAATGTGTAGAGTAATCAGAAGAAAAAAATTAAAATGATTTTTATCTAAAAAAAGAACGTTAGATCATTTATTAAAATAAATTTTGATTAGAAAAACGGTAAATTAGTCGATACTATGAATTTTTAAAAACCACCTTATAACTCGGACCAATTTCAAACATTGCCGTTAAATATTGTAGTTTATTTTAATTCAAAAAGAAAAATCATTCCTAAAGAACATATTTAACTTCCGTTGCTAAATAAAGATTTCGTCATCAGTTCAACATGCGAGTAATTAGATAATGAAATGAAACAGTTCTAAATAACATATCTCATTATTTTTAAATTATTTTCAATATAAACGAAAGCGATAATTCAAAAGAACGTTAAAGGTATTTTCTTAATTATCAAAAAAAAAATAATAAAAAAAAATACTGTAATTAGTCATAAAACTATAATAGTTTCATAAATCATTAAATATTCTTTTATGAAACAAAATTATGCTTTTTGGCTGTTGTAATGAAATTTTGCTTAGTATCCAAATGGCAAAGTTTCAAAAATTTTTATCAAACAATTATAATAAAAAAAAAAACAGCGGTATCTATTACTTTACACTCGTGTACGAAATCACAATGCTCATGTACATAATTTTTTCTTGAATTTTTACTGTAAATTATTTTTCATAAACTTAGTCTATAGTTATCACAAAGAAGACTGTTTAGCGACGTCGAAGCGTAGAAAAATGAAAAAAATTCCTGTTGTGAATTACGAGCGTTGTTGTCCATGTATCTGTGTACCTTTAAAAAAATGCGTGCGTGGATTTCAAAGAGTAAAAAATAACACCCTATTAACTATTTTTGAGAAAGAAAAGTCTTATTACATTTTTTTTTTGGTTTATGTCACTTTTTGTGTGATTACTATTAGAGAATCGAATAACAATTCAAAATTACTTTTCTAATATGACGAATATTTTTTTATCATCATCTTTAGCTCTACAAATTTCAAATTTCAAATTTATTTTAATTTATTTTAATTTATTTTCTAAAATAAAATTCAAATTTCTTTTCACTTTTCCAGTGCACTATTGTATATATAACTTATTAAAATCTTTGCAATATTTTTAAAAAAAAACTTTTCCACACAATTTAGATAAATGTTTTTTGATAAAGTATAAAAAAGGTAATGCAGATATGTGGATGGAATAATTAATACATATAGGTATGATATGAATACACAAATATGTGCGCATAAATGTTCGGTGTAAAGTTACATAAGCCTTTTTATTTCAAAAGATTCGTTCTGTTTTAAACTTATTTCAAAAATTGCTTTTCATTCTATAATGAAGATGGAAATCCTACTCTCTATCTCTCCCTCTCTTTACATTACTAAAAATATAAAAAAATTTGTTTTCATTCATAAAAAAAGTTGAAATGAAGAGATACTTTATAAAATTTTCAAACCTAACAGTACAGAGTGAAATAATAAATATTACTTTTTAAACCAATGTCCATTTTTCATTCATATGCTGAAGTGTTAAAAAGAAACATAAATTGAAAATTAGTTTCTATGAATTTTAAAAAAAGAATAATGGCTTTTGTAAATATGGCAATCTCTACTCAAAGGCATTCAATTTTCATATATTTTAAAACAAATTATAAACTTATTTTCTCCTCTTTCTTCAACATAACATACATTTACGAGTATTTTAATAATTACCTTCATAATTACAAATATTTTCAAACTCATAAGAGTTTATTTTGTGAGATGAGCAAAAGCAAATGCGTCCCGAATAAAAAAAAATATTTTAAACTAAAAAAATGTTTTTTATTTAATTTCAAAAATGTTTCTCTGGTTAATAAAAATATTTCATATTTAAAAAGTTAAATATGTACATAAAAGTTAAAAGATAATTAAAAAAAAATAGATAATGGAAAATAATTAAAATAAAAAAAATATTAGTTTCGATTTTCTTGTGTATATTACGAAATTAGTTTAATTGAATTTTGTTATCTAGATACTAATTGATATTTTGTTTTAATAATAAATTAAATTAATTTCTGATTGATAGAACGTTAAATGAATGAGATACTATGCGAAATAATTGAAAATAAACAATGCGTATAATTGATAAGAATGGTAAAATGTGCAAGTTTCAATACAACGCTCAAATAAAAAGAGAAAAAAAATGACGATGAAGAAAACAACGTGTTCATGTGTATTTGTTGTGAGCGTGCACATTTATGAAAAGAAATGTTATTCACGATTTATTTCCCATTTTTATATTATCTTGCCAAAGTATCCAAGCTGCCAAATGTATTCAAGAAAGCCATCCAAGTGCTTCTCAAATTTCACACATTCCATATAAAATATGACCAAATACTATAATAAAAATGTATTATTTCGTTTATATAATAATTTTTCACCAAAAAAAAAAAAAAATAGTTTCATATTATAAGACCAATTCCAATATTAAAATTTTGGCAAGAGTTAGAAATTTTTTATCAAAACAAATTTTTTATCAATAGCGTTCAAGGCAACAAAATAAATTTCTTTATAAAAGTAAAAAAAAAAAATAAATCAGAAAAGAAAAATAAATCTGCTTGAATTATAATATACAATTAAGTATTTTATCGCGAAAGAAAAATTTAAAAAACCATTTTAATTTTGTTTAAAATATTTCATGAGTTCGTGTAAATGAAGATGAAAGTAAACGTTTTTAAGCGATACGCAAAAGCGTTTTGTAGTTGAATACATTGAAGAGTGTACATCTGAAATGTGTAAAATAAATTTCGCCGAAAAATCACCTCCAGGAATCCCTGAATACTTTGTCTATATTAAAATAAACTTGAGATAAGTAATTGTTTGAATAACAGTGTTTGTAATTTTTTTCATCCTATTATTTATTTTTAGGAATTAAGTTATTGTTTTTAATACTTTTATTTATTTTTATTAAATTATTATTAAATTCATGTTTTAAAATACAAAGAATAAATATTTTCAGATTCATAAAGTAGATAATGCATATAATTGAATTTTACAAAAGTCTGATAAATGAATTGCAATTCGAAAAAAATTGTGTATACAAAGAAAATCTCTTTTTATGTATCGGGATTATAGTCGTTTATTTAATTAAAAATATTTATATTAAAAGCTTTGTTACGAAAGGTTCAATCAAAGTTTTTATTTATTAAATTGCGAAAACCAATTGGTGGGTTGAAAATGAAGAATAATTTTTTTAAAAAATTGATCAAAACGATGCGATGATTGGATAAAGTGAATAATAGAATAAAACTCTTTTTTGGGCAACAAATAATTATTTATTGTCCAAAAAAGAGTTTTATACTGAAATAAAAAAGTGTTTGGGGATTTGAATACTTTTTGTTGAACTCTTTCCGGGATAAGTTTTGGTAAAGTGAATTTGTTGAATTCATTTATTCTTGCTGTTTGGTTGTCCTTTAGTGAAAAACCCCACCATCACGACAAGGTCTACCGAACATATCCATGATGCCAGTCATATTTATCAGTGGACAAGCACTGCCCAACGTATCGATGACATCTATAATGATTGCCAGTAGGCAACCATCCGGGTGGTCAGTATTCACTATTGGGACTCGTGGAATTTATATTTATATATAATAACCGATAATTTAAATTGAATTTAAAATATATTAATTAAGAATCAGAGTTAGGGACATATATTTTAAAGCATTTCTCCTTATATCTAACAATAGAAATAATTTTTAATTGACAAAGAAAAATGAAATTGAATTAATTTAATCAACAGAGAATTAAACGACAAAAATATAATTTTTTCAATAATTTCTTTCTCAAATTTAAATCAATATTATAATTGCGAGAAAGACATCTGTCAGTGAATTTTACTTGACTGTTTTCAAGAAGAAAAAAGTAGGAAAAAATTGAATTAAATATGGCGTAATTAGAAAAAAAAGTCATGTTTAAAACGAACCATCTTCAGCTATCGATTTCCAATCATATTATATATATAGTAATAATACTTTAAAAACAGTTCTACCTTTGTTTCGATCATCATTTTTAGGAAAATTTATTTCCATCACTTTATATTAATAACTTTAGTTTTAATATTATATACTTGGTATTATAATGAATTTCCTAGAATATGCTAATACAACATATTTTGTTCCTCAATTATGTAGACAATCAATTTTTCGATGAAGGTGCGATGCTAAGCGTCGTGAAAATGAGACTAATTGGGTAAATTCACCAGAGAGGAAAGGATAATGATAATGAAGGGTGGTCTTAATTAATTGAGAGAAAAAGTGGAATAAAATTTTAATTGACATACCAATATTATCTTAAAATATTTGCCATTGCCTTTCTTAATTATGAAAAATAGAAACAGAAAAAAGAGCAAAAAGAATACTTTTATCTATATTTTTGAATTGTCAATCGCAGAAGATAATTTTATTAGACTACTTAATTTCAAGTCAACTATTCAAAAACTCGTCGTCATAGTGCAATTCTGTTAAGGTTGACGCCTTAAGGCCCTGAGAATGAGATTTATGAACAATTTAAAAGGCTTATTGGTCAAAAGTATTACTTCCTATTCCAAATGAGTCCCTGAAAGCTTTATCAACTCTGCTTTTTTTGTAGTCGGAAGGTGCAAGTATTAAAAATCCAGAGTTATATGGGGATGCTGATGTCTTTTGTTCTATAGTCAATGCACTAAGAACCACTTATGTCTTAGACTGGACTTTTTTTCCCCACGGAACAATGGTTAGGTTAAAAAATTCGTTGGAAAAATCACAATCTTCTTGACCTGACTTGAAGACTCCGAATTCTCCATTTTTATCAACATCGTTGGTATTGATCCTATCGACGAAATTTTCTTTGCATTAAAAGCAGCTTACGCTCTTCTTACAATCTCCACATTTCAAAAGGGCTCCCATTGTGCAGCTCCTGCAGCTAGGACTCTTGTGACTCTAATCACCATTGTTGATTCTCTTATCACTGCCTCCTTAGTTTTTGGACGCAGATGCTTCGGAACCACCTTCGCATCCACAGTCAACCCCTTAAGTGGAGCTTACTCTTTCTTTCTTTGACAATTGTTTTTTTTATACTACCAAAACTTCGTCTTCTTTTCTGTGCTTCCTTTAGAGAACGCCTAAACCAACTTTTATTCAATCTATTCGGCTTCTGTCTGTACAGCAGAAAGCGCTTTCTGAGCACACATCGCACATTACCGAAGGCAGAGGGTTAACAGTCTCGTTATCTTATTCTGAAGGTATTAGGTTATGTACACTCTTCGCTTCAATTGATTAGCGTCTAACCTTTACATGATAACCTTCTCACATAGAGAACTTTCTCTAAAATTATATAATCCATGTATTCTTTCTGTTCAGAGGTCCATGTTGCTATATTTTAAGAGTATTAAATAAAGCAGAACAAAATTATAATAGATCGGACAAAAAAATTATTAGCCATCGTGTGGACTACAAAAATGTTAGGACAATATTTATTAGGACCGACATTCACTATTTGAAAAAAAATGTCTTCGTCGAATCGAGCGCATGATTAGACAGTACCAAGTTACAGAATATACGAATGTGAATCGATGAAGATGGTGTGAATGACCCATTTGTAAACAGAATGGCAAGACAAGAAAATCGTCAAGGTAAATCAGAAGAGATAAAGATTCATAAGTAATTCTTTCCCTTTCTCTGTACAATATTGAAAAGTTGTCCCAATCACAACTGTGGTTAAGCGAATCATTATGGTTACCAATGACATTAGTAAGAATAAAAGAACTTATGGAAAATTTTAGTAAACAATACAAAGATAGATCATTCCACTCATGATTTAGTCAACTGAGAAAACTTATAATAAAAGAAGGAAAATCAATATTAAAATTTACTTATGGATCGTGAATCGTGATGCAACATTCTAGAGAAAATAGAACCATATGAAAATGCAAAGCGATAAGGAAAAAGAAAAGGCGGAGAAGTAGAAGATATTATCCACGATATACTATTAAAATTAAGTGCCAAAATAGCTAAATATATTTTTGGTTCTTTACCTAAAACGAACCGATTTTCAAGTATCCAGAACTTATTTCAGAGGGGAATCAGAAACACGCAAAATGATTAGATATTTTTCGTATTTCCCTTTTCCACAGAATAAGTTACAATTAGAATTCAACAGGAAAAATCTAATACAATATTATACAAACAGTTTTGCAGCAACCAGTATGTGAAATGGAAGATCTCATAAAATTAATTAATAAATAATCAGCCAGCTATTAAATTATCTCCAAGCACACACGGTGCTTTGCAAAAACTGAACTGTAAATATTTGTAGCAAAAATTTGAGAACAACTGGAAACACATTTAATTAAAATATTATAAAGCTTGGATGAAACCTGGAGTTCCTACGAAAGTAATGTGAAAAATTTTAGAATTTTCGTTCATTTACATTTTTTACTACGAATGAAGAAAAAACGTTTATTAAAATTGTTGAGAAACCAGAATTACACTTAATATTCGGGGTGGTTCGAATACCTTATTTTCTCATATGTTGAAAGAATTTTAACAAGAATCTTCGGCGTGGACAAAAACATGTTCAGTTAATAGGAAATGTTACACATTAAAGTCCGAAAATTAAAGGAAACTCTTGTAAAAAAAATGTCTAGGAACTTCTAAAATGTATCTCCATTTAGGAGTTCCTGGGAATTTAAAAATATCGTGCCAACCTATCGGTTTCAAATTGCGCAACCAGGGGTACTATTCTGTAATTTCACTTCATTTCACCTCACTTTCACTTCACTTCACTTTCATAGCACCTCACTTTCACTTTTCTTGAAATCGAGGTGAAGTGAAGTAAAGGGAAAGTGAGGTGAAACTGAAGTGAAATTAAGTTGATGTGAAAGTGAGGTGAAAATGGAAGTGAAGTGAAAGTTAGGTAATGTGAAAGTGAAGTGAAAATATGGAATTTTTTTTTAATTTTACATTTTTATCATACAGATGTAAACTATGTTTAAAAATTGATCCACCATTTTTAATTTTTTATAATTCATAGCAGATTTGTAAGCAGCGACCATAAAAGCCCCCAGAGAATAATTTTTACTTAAATTACCTTACATTGTCAAAAGTAATGTTATTTTCAATACCTTCATTTACGGAACAACATATGTCCCATTGTTTATGTATTTATGTGTAGATACATAAATTAAATTTTTTATTTTTGAATATTGAAGAGATTCTAGTCTGCGAAGAATATTTAACTATAACATCCAATATATACCCCATTCAGCCCGTGAAATAGTTACTCTAGTCACCTTACACATAAACAACTACATTGCCAATTTTTTTTACAACTAGACAGTGTTTTATCTTCATCTCAATATCTGACAAAGCATGACTCTCAATATTTTGAGTACGTGGCCAAAGTCTTTTGAATTCACTTCACCAAATCTATAGCGCCGCTAAATGAAGATAAAAGACTTTATGGATAATTTCAAAATCCCCTTTTGTTTTGCATTCACTTATTTCTTAGGTCAATGCACCTAACTCTTTATCTAAATTTTTGTTTTCTCAGTTACCATTTCAGGTATAATGTTCTTACATTTCTTACACTTTCTTGTTTTTTACTACATTTTGTGACTAACAAAGTAAATAATTTACTTTTTACTTTTAGAAATAAAGTTTTCGCATTCGTAACGAACAATGGGGGAAAATGTAGACAGAATTTATTTTCTAAACGTACTTACTATTCAACTCGATAATTTTTCGATTACTTACTATTTCTCCTGAACGCTTTTTAAAGTTCTACGCCCATAACATTCATTTAAAAAAAATTAAAAAATACCTATCCTGTTTTAATAAAAAAGAAAAATCAAAAAATAGTTTTTGTTTTATCTAAAATGTGAACTAAAATTTGTCGTAGAATTACCTACCTATACGTATGTAATTTTTTAATATTTACGACTATTAAGGGTAGTTTTTCAAAAGTTCTCGATTTTTTAATTATTAATTTCTAATTGTCTTTATATTCGGCAAAATTAAAACTATGTCATCAACTTTGCTATTCCATTCTTCATTTTAAGCAGATTTTATATTGATGTCATAATTTTTTTTAAGGGGGGGTAAGGTTTGTTACGTCTAAAAAAAGACCTTTTTTCATGAATATTTTTAGAAGAAATTATTGCTGTCGATTTATTTTACATATTATTATACGATAGTGTAACATTTGAAGAATATTAAAAAAAATTTTGTTAAAAAATAGATAGAAATAACCAAGTTATTGCAGATCTCCGCAGGTGCCTAGAAAAAAAAGTGTTTGTGCGGTGACCAGCCTACAGCATCACTGGATCAACTAAAACCAAAAAATGAAAATGTTTTGTTTAGTTTATTTCTTTATCTCTCAAGTGACGAAGAGTTTTTTTTAAATTTTTAAATTTTTGGCACCATTTTGAAGCCAAAATGACGATTTTTGAAAAAAAAATCGACCTATTTGTTATTGTAAAATTGTTAATAATTTTAAAAAAATTTAAAAACTCAACGTCACTTGAGAGATAAAGTAATAAACTAAAGAAAACATTTTCACTTTTTGGTTTTAGTTGATCCAGTGATGCTGTAGGCTGGTCACCGCACAAACACTTTTTTTCTAGGCACATGCGGAGATCTGCAATAACTTCGTTATTTCTATCTATTTTTTAACAAAATTTTTTTTAATATTCTTCAAATGTTACACTATTATATAATAATATGTAAAATAAATCGACAGCAATAATTTCTTTTAAAAAAATTCATGAAAAAACGTCTTTTTTAGACGAAACAAACCTTACCCCCCTTAAGTGATTCAGTAAATTTAAAGTTGTGTATGCGTGAAGTTCAGTAATTTACAAAATACAATAAAATATACAGTTTCTTTGTTTAGTTATTATTGAAAAATTAATTTTATAATTGGTTTATTATTTCCAAATTTAATGCTTTGATTAACAAAATTTAATTATGCAGTTGTATAAATATAAAATGAATATTTGTATTTGGAAATCGAGTATTATGTATACCTAATAAATAAATATTCAATGATTGTTTTAACCCGCATTGACTTGTTCCCACCCTGGGTGGGTCAGATAATGAGCAAAAGTGTAATATAATATTAGTAGAATACATTATTTTAAAATATATATGAAAATTCCGAAAAAAACATTCACGATTTTATGATTTTTTACAATATCCTAAGAAAGAAGCACTTAAACCACCCAGAGTAGATTATAGTCTTCAAAACACCTAAAAATCTTCGGTCTTAAGCAAAAGTTGAAAAATTTATTAATGGTTAAGTATCTGTTTCAACTTTTACCATGTTTGTTTTATGAATAAAGATGTCAAATATAAAAAAATATCGAAAAACATAAATAAATTAATTAATTCGTTTACTTTCAGGTGATGGTGAGCGTTTTTCAAAAAAAGTTACCACCTAATTGAATAATTATTTTAAAAAAAGACTTGAAAAATTCTGAAATTCATTATCTGAAAGCTTTTAGGGCCGTTGATTATGAATCTAAAGTTATTTTTCAAAAATTCAAAATGGCGGAACCAAAATGTCGATCAAATTTTTAGAAACGAAAAAATGAGCTTTTTTGCGTGAAACTTATTATTTGAGCGTTTCTGTGGTTGCTGATTACGACTTTGAAGTTATTTTTTTTTTTTAAATTCAAAATGGTGGATCCAAAATTGTGGACAAAAAATTTTAAAAAGCAAAAAGAATGGCTTTTTGTGTGAAATTTATTACACAGGGATTACTAGATTCGCTGATTATGAATTTAAAAATATTTTTTAAAAATACAAAATGGTGGATTCAAAATGGTGTCAAAAAATTGTTTTCTATACCTAATCGTCAATCACAATAATAAATTTTTGTCCACCATTTTGGATCCGCCATTTTGAATTTTAAAAAAACGTAACATCAGATTCGAAATCGGCGTTTTTTGAGTGAAATAAAAATAAGAATGGGGATTTTTTGAGTGAATGAAAAAAATTTTTATGTGAAATTGAAGGTGTATATTTTTGAGTTAAACTTAAAGTATAAGAATATTTTGAATGAACGTAAAAATCTTTTGGGTGACATTGAATGTGAAAATTATTTGAGTGAAAGTGAAAGTTACGTTAACATAAATAAAAAAAAGATAAAAACACAACACATGTTTGTCATAGAAAATATTAAATAAAATATTTTTAAAAAAATTAAGAAAATTTTATATAATAGTATAAAAAATATATTTTTCACATTACATACAAATAATTTTGTACAATTATTTTACAATGTTTTCCAATCCTAATTAAAAATAGCTAATAATTTCAATTTTTTATTAATTTTTATTCTCTTCTGTCTCTTCATTGATAAATTGAATACCGACACTTGGTATAATGAAGATATTCAAGAAAGATGTAACTCAAGTCGATAAGATAGAAATTGTGATGTAATACCCACAAACCTTCTGTTGATCAAACTTTTAGAAAATATGTTAATTATTTACAACTGGTAAAGTAAAATTTAATAAATAATAAACTTACCTTATTTTAAAGATCATTAATTTCGACTATTACCATTGACGAGATGAAGTACACTATCCCTAGTAATTCCGTACTCTTTTAATGTCAAGTGCATTTGATTTAATCGTTTTGTATCATAACTTGAAAAAGCAGAAAAAATTTATTTTGAAAATTCTCTTTTAATTTTTTAGAAAAGCAATTACTGTCAAATAATTTACCCATTTGTTACAATGTGGTACTTTTTCGTCACAGGATGATCTTTCATTACAGTTGAATTTAAAATTTCATACAATCGATCTACAGTTTCATTTGCTGATATGTGTATAAGATAAACTTTTCCTCCATTTGGAGAGCGAATTTTCAGGCGTAATTCCTCTTGATGGTACGATGGTTCATTAATTTGCATAAGAAACGGTAGCTAATTAAAAAAATATAATCATTGAGTAAACAATTATTTTTTATTTTAATAATTACTGTTAGGTGTGATGCACGCCACAGCCTATCAATAATTTAAGCTCTGGAATATCAAACATATTTTTATTTTCTACCTCTTTTGGAGTATTCACAGTTGCTGATTTCGATCCTCTTGGAGTGTGAAATTTTGAAGTGACAACCTGATTTTGCAACCTATTCAAATTATCTTGGGAATTCACAAAAAATTGTGATCCACTCTTAGAATTTTCCTGCTTTAATCGTTTCTCCGTATGGCTCGCTGATCTAGATCTAAACTTTCGACCGCTGTTTCAAAAAAAAAAATTGGGTTGAAAATAAATTCTTGATGTTATTTTTAACCGTTTTTTAGAAATATTTATTTTCATCCCAACCTCAGAGGCGTTGATTGGTAAAAATTCGGTCTATTTTTGTCAACGACTGATTTTTCAAATCTTGTCGGTGAATTGCTCAAAGAAAGGTGACAATCGGAATTTTTCATCGATATTCTCCTGGTCTGATGGAAAAATATGGTTTTGAATTATTTTTACCCACCTTCTAATGTGAAAATAAAATAGAATTCAACCTTTGGTTTCCTTGCACTAAGAGCAAGTTCAGCATTAATGTGAGATTGAAGATGTGAATCGGAACAATTATGATTATGTGATGCTGAAATTTGTAGACGTAAATTTTTCAGATCCGAAGAAGTAAGGGAATCTTTTTTGCTTTTTGTCCTCGAAGATCTGTGTATGAATTTTATGCAATATTAATTACAAGAAGAAAATAATTGTTGTAATTTTAAGAACATAATTAGTTCAAATAATGTTCTAGAAAATTATTTGGCCGAAAAAACGTTCTAAAATCGTTTTAAGAACGTTTTTTTGGGCCTAAAACAAGTGAGGATTGATAGATGTTTGGGAATTCTAATAAAGTTATTTTTTTAAATTCAGAGTGACCAACTTATTTGATAAATTGTGTAAAGGTGATTGTATATTAAGATCCCTGTTTGTGTTAATAGGACTTTGATTAGATGATCCAGGCCAAGAATTTGAAGATTTCTTCGTTTGCATGATTGACTTATATTGAGAAGACGTTTGCTTTCCCAGTCGATAGCCACGACCAGGAAAATCAGCTCCATAGCCAATGTAGATTTCCTTTCTGTGATCTTCAACCTAACGTTGATCAGAATTCAGTTCAACTTATAAATTTTGTTTTAAGGATCTTTGAAAGTAGTCACCTTTAAAGGAACACCATTTGGATAATTATTTTGAAATTCCGATGGAAAATATCCGTCTAATATATCGCGAATGAAACATTTCGTTAGTGGATCACTGTACAATCGTAAACGACCTCCTTCAACTATCAAACCGTTCTTGAAAAATTTTAGTGTCATACACTTTGGAACCTTATCAAAATTGAACCAAATCAGTTGATTAGAAATTTAAATCTAAATTTCTGCAATTTCTACAATTTCTAGAAATTTTATTGAATAAACTTTTACGTCTGAGTTGATTTTAATTAAAAATTTTTAAAATGTCGAAATCTTCCCTCATAATTATAATTTAAAAAATTACTTTAAACGATGCCGTAGCACCATCCTGACTGTGATGAACTTGAACCTCATCTTTACCTGCGTCATTATTAAGTTCCTCAATATTCGCAATCAGTTGAGTAAAACAGCTTTCTATATAATCTCTAAATTTTTATATTCATCAATTGTTTAAATTATTCATAAATAAGAAAAAAATGAAAATCTTTTTAATACTTTGATAATAATTCAGAAGATGAATTGTTGCCTTGTACTCCAACCCATACCAAACCGTAATCTTCGAGAAATTTTTCCATTTCTAAAATTCTGGTTTCTAGGGCACGACATTTTTTGACCAGATTATCGGACTTTGTTGAATTTTTTCGACTTTCTTGTTGTTCTCTTTTATTTTTCGAATCTTGAGATTTGAATATATTGTTTAATTCCCTGTTCTATGGATTTAAAGTTTAAGGTAAAACTGTAAAATTCTGTTTGCTGTTAGTTTCTTTGTCTTTAAATATTCTTTACTTGTACCTTACGTTTTAATAAAGTAATTTCTTGTTCCTTTGCCTTTGAATTCTCTTCTGATTTTAAAAACATTGACTGCATTTTTTGTATTTGATTAGTTGCCAAATATAATTGTTTGGTTAACATACCAATCAATTCACTTTCTGGGAATAATAATGAATTTAATGGTTAACAATTTGTGGGAATATTGTTAAAAATTAAAAATTAAAAATAAAACTAAAATTCTAAGAAAATAAAATCGAAACAGAAAAAATTGTGAAATTTAATTATATCTGGAAAAATCTTTTGCTACAAAATTTCAACGTACAGTAAACTATGTTTGAAAATAATTACCTTCGTCTTCTTTTGAATTTCGACAAAGTTTCTCATTACGTTCGGATATTACAGAATACTACAGAAAATAATTTAAAAAATGAATATTGAATAAATGAAAATTAAATAAAATTTTGTTTGCAATATTAAAAGTATTCAAAATAAATTTAATCATAGCAGAAAATAATTTTCTATAAAGTTATTTTTAAATACAACAAACCCTTTGCGTTTCTAGAAAATTATGTTTCGTTAATGAATTACGTATGTTATTAGAATCAGCCACTTCTGGTAATGTTTCTAATGATAAAAAATTAGCTTTTGATGATTGTTTCAAAAATCTAAAAAATTGAAATAAAATATTAAACAAGAATAAAAACAGTTAAAATTATAGGTTAATTAAAAAATATTTCCTACTTTATTATTAGTTTTTAAAAAATGTTTTCTAATTATAAAAACTTTGCAAAAAATATAACCTTATGTTAAAAATTATTAGAAAAAGCTAATAACATATTAAGTTTGACATACTTGTTAGAATAATTTGTAGGTAATTTTTGCTGTTTCGATAATTTTTTTCCCGGTAATGCAGTTGCATTTTTATTACTCATAATGATTATGTAGCTATTTATTATTGTGTGTTTTGGAAAAAATTTACATTTAGAATTTTTTTTTAATGCTGTTTTAGAAAACTTTTTAATCTACTTGTACTATTAATTGAATTGCACGTCAATAACAGATTATATCAAATTGAAAAATTTTAATGTCAGTCATAATGAAGACAAAAATAAATTGAAATAAATGATTATTGTATTTTTTTCAGGGTTATAATAACAACAACTTGGTACTTTTGATATTAAGTGACAACTTCACGAAGCAGAAAATTAATATTTACATTTAAAGACAAAAGGGATATAGGAATGTTTGCATTCGAATTATAAACATTGACTCTTGTAACAGAAAGTGCATTTTTAATTCGTATCAATTCTGACAGTTTCTGCTGTGAATATTTGCGGGTAATTATAAATAAAACGTAGTATTTTCATGAGAGAAATAATTTTTTAATATTGAAATAACCTGTATTTACAAATTGTTCTCGTTTCTCGAAGGTAAAATAATTCTTTTCTTGAAATTAATACAAGTTCAATTTTCATTCCTTTTAATTCGAAAACACTTTTGTTATTGTAAAAAATGTTTTTTTTTTAAATTTATTATTTATTTATTATTATTTATTTTATTATATTTATCATTTATTTATTTATTTAATTTTCATGAAAGTATAGAATATTTCAAAAAATTCGCAAATGAGAGAAAGGAGATTTGTAATAGGGAATTAGTAATAAATAAAAATATCGATTTTAATTCCTCTTAATTCCTATTTTAATAAAAATTTCCAAAAGAATTGAATTATTTTTTAAAATTTAAATAAAATTCTACGCAAACATGTAATTATCTTCATAAAAAATTAAATTCTTTTTAGGAATTCAATTATATTCATAAATACCTAATCGTAGAATTTCAATTATTTTTAGTACCAATTTAATTAAATTAGTCAAAATAATTGAATTATTCTTTTAAATTTTCATAAAATTATTGAAAAAAATTCAAATGTTTACAAAAATTTGATTCAAATCCTTTGCAAGAATTTAATTATTTAAAAAAAAATTTTAATAAAATTCTACGCAAACATGTAATTGTTTTCATAAAATAATAAAAATTTCCTAGGAATTCAATTATTTACTAATTTTTTAATTTTTTATAAATTTTTAAATAATTCAATTATTTTCATAAATAATAACATTTTTACAGGGATTCAATTATTTTCGTAAATAAAATTCTTTTTGGAAATTCAATTACTTTCATAAATAATAAAACTAAATGTTAAATTTCAATTATTTTTAATTCAATTTTTATTGAATTCTTCGAAAAGTGTTATTATTCTTAAAACATTTATTAAAATTTGTCGAAAGAATTCAATTATTTAAAAATTTGTTGATCAAATTCTTTATGAGAATACAATTGTTCAATAAATTATTTTTTTTATTTAAGTAATTGAGTTCTGGTAGAATTTTCTAATAAAAATTGATTTAAAAATGAATATCATTTAAAATTTAGAATTACAATTGAATACTAAAAGCATTATAGCGTGAATTTTTAGAAATAATTGAATTTTGAAATAAATTTTTTTTCAAAAAGTTTAACTGGATTTTTTTTATATTATACATTTAATTATTCAATAAATTATTTATTTTCGTATTTAAATAATTAGATTCTAGTAGAATTTTCTAATAAAAATTGATTTAAAGATGAATTTCAGTTAAAATTTTAGATAATAATTATAAATATTAAGAGCAATATAATATGAATTTTTTTAAATAAAATAAAAAAAATTAATTGAATTTTTTTTATATTATTTGAAGTTTTTATTTTCTAATATAATATTTAATAGAAGAATTTACGAATAATTAAATTTTGTGAAATTGAATATTGTAAACAAATGAATTTGAAAAATTGGCAAAAAACTTTTTCCAAAATTATTCAAAATAATTTATTTAAAGAAGAATTTTAGTTAAAACTTCTTGAAAATAATAATTGAATTGAAATGATGAACTGGTTACATTTTTGTCAGTAATTGGTCCGTAAATGGTGCGTAATTTTTCATTTTTTGTAAAGTTCGTATTTTTAAATATTCTCACTAGTTCGAGCCCTGAATAATTGGAAAAATCTGCGAATAAAAAAAAATATTTTTAATTCGAGTGAAATTAGAAGGAATTAAATTTTCTTCTTTAATTAAAAGGTGAATTTAATTTTTATTCCAAATTAATACAGAACTAATTGCAATAAATTTTTCAAATATAATTTCTAATTAATGATTTCCAAGATGAGATTTATGGAGCAATTTTTGTTTGAAAACACCGCTTATTGGCAAACATAGTACGCAGAATCGAATCATATAAGCATATCACATTGATCGTAGTCATCTGCCAGTTGGGTGAGTCACGTGACTTGTGACGTGCGTACAGTAGTAACATTAAGGCCAGAGTCAGACAAACTCAGTTCGTATTCGCACCGACATTTTATACTCTCGTGTTGAAAGCAAAAAAAAAAAAAAGAAAAGAAAAGAAATTCAATGTCAACAGATTTACTTTTCTCTAAAGTAATCTGCAATTATATTTAAAGAGTTGATAAATAATTTGTTTTGATAAAAGAAAATATTTCTTTTCACAAAGACATCGCGTTTGTTAATTATGGAAATGTAGAATTTGTTGCCGGTGTAACACGTGCAACAAATCCCAAAGAAACAATGTCGCGAAAGATGGAGACGCTTGCTTTGGTAAAAAATATTGCCAAGCACAAACATACATCAAAGGTATGTTTTAAAAATATGTCACATTTTCTTCTGATTATTTATAATCAAACTTTTTCTGATTTTTACAAATTTTTAAAATGTTTCCCCTGACATGAATTTATCTTCTTTTCATTTTCTCACAACTTGAACATCCAAATTTTTATTTACTTCTTTATCAAAAAGAATATGAATGTTAAAAATTTTATTTATACAGAAATATTTTTTCGAAAATATAATTTTGAAAGTAATAAATAAAGTAAATGAATTATACGTGCAAGGTAAAGAGAAATTTTGTACTTTTATTACATCACTATTAAATTATTAGGTTAACAATTGAATTTAAAATTATATACTAAATTTTATCATGATTCATGTTCAGTTTGACATTTAGTCGATAATGAAATTATTTTTGTTTTGCATGCATTAGTTTGATTAAGATTTGAAAATGTATGCAGCAAATGTTTATTTTTATTTATTAGTTAAGACACAAAATTTACACTTTAATGATAACAGAGAATTTTTTATGAATATAAAAATTATTAATTCAGAGTAAAATGAACAGAAGTTTTTGCGATTTTCTTAATTTATGATATATTACAGGTGTGCACACAACTTTGAACTATAGTTATTCAATGATAATATATATATATATATGAACTAATCAATTTTATTGCACCTAAAATTTCAACAAACATATTTAATTATTTATATGATGAAATAAAATAAATACGTATCAGAACAAAGGGTACATGTTGTATAGGTATTTTCTTTATTTTAAAAATGCACTCATATAGAATAACTATTAAAATGCGCGTAATGAGGACGTTGAATATAAGTTGCATGATGATTGCAACATTTTAATGCACAGAAAGCTTAACTGTATACTGGGTCAAGGCTTTGTTCTATCAGATATTGACACTTCCTATTAAATTAAGTAAAAATTTTACTATACCAGTAATTAGTGAAAAATAAATAGTAGTGGTTTGTGGTAAATTACAAATATTACTTAACCCCTTGAGATATGTGGTATAAAATACAAAAGAAATTGACCACGTGTGTCAAGGAAAAAAAATTTGATAGATTCGCTTAAAACGGATTACTCAGGATCTATTGGGGTGGTTAATTACGAATCCAGTGTTGGTTTTTCAAAATTCAAAATGGCGGATCCAATATGGCGAAATTATTTTTTAAAATTGATCAAATTCATTTAAAACTTGTTACTATTAATATATTTCGAATTTTGAAAACGCCATTTAAATTATGAAAATCTGACTTCATATTCGTAATCAGCGATCCCAAAAACCCCCGAGTAACAAGTTTCAAGAGAATTTGATCAATTTTAAAAAATTAGTCCGCCATATTGGATCCGCCATTTTGGATTTTTAAAATCCGACTTCATATTCGTAATCAGCGACCCCAAAAACCCCCGAGTAACAAGTTTCAAGAGAATTTGATCAATTTTAATAAATAAGTTTGCCATATTGGATTCGCCATTTTGAATTCTAAAAATATGAAAAATCCGACTTCAAACTCTTAATCAGCGACATTTGTGTTTATTATAAAAAGAAACTTGGATTTTAGATTTTTATAAAAAATTATTTTTTAGTGCCTTGCATTTCAGATTCAAAAAAAAAAAATTATTTTTTTAGTGCAGGGATTTTTGAAAAAAGATGGAAAGACCATTTTTAAATGATAATAAAAAGACAATTGATCATCATTGATTAAAAAACTTGCTTATGAGTTTTTACAGTATTTTTTATGCTTTTTAAAATGCAAGTCGTTCAGATTTTAAAAAAATTGTCCGCCATATTGGATCCGCCATTTTCAATTTTGAAAAACTGACACTGAATTCGTAATCAGCGACCCTAAAACCTAATCATTTATTTTTACAATAAACAAATCTATGTGGACTTTTTGATTTTTCAATGAATTTCATTTAGTGGCACAACTTTTAATCGAATTTCACCCAAGATTCTGGCACGATCTAAAAAACGTTTTTTAATTCATCTGATGGGTGTTACAATGTAATCATTGCAAACATTTGTCATCGTAGCATCGTCTAAACTGATAAAATCTCAAATTTTCATATGGGTGGTTGACACCTTATTTTGACAAAGTTTTCTTTGCAAAAGAAGCAGTTTGGGCTCTTCTGACAATTGTAGAATTTGTAATCGACATTAATGCACTTAAAGCACGCAGTGGATCTGTCCAGATTCTGGAACTTCGCGTCCCAAGCATTGGAAAAATTTTTCCCTTGTACATGTCCCCTTTAGTCGCTTTTTACGACATGTAGTAGACTACAGATGACCTATTCTAAATTTCGAACCACCACGGGAGTTGGCGAAAAGCAGTTATTTTAGATTGTTGATGAGGATGTCCCTAAATCCCAAGATGGAATAATTCCACAATTATGCAAAAGCATAATTATAATACAGCAGGAAAATAATGATTGACAATCGTCTAGACTGTAAGAAGGTTATCATATTTACTAGGACAGACGTTCATTATTCAAATAGATCATATAGCATTAATCTGATAACGTAAAAATCCTTTTCAAGAAGGCATTTCAAGGAGACATTTGCCCTGACATAACATTAAAATCAAATGACAAAATATTTATGGACCTTTTTGGTGCTTTACCTAAAATTAATTATTAGGTAAATCTAACGAATATGATGCTATTTTGTTTAGAAGAGACGTTTTCTTGATCATGTAATATTACCATATTTATTACATCAAGAAACGTATGTGTCTGTTGCGAATAGATATATTTTACTCCCAATCCGACAAATAACTACATAGATTAACTGTGACAAAGGACTATTACAATCGATCATAATAGTTTAATAGAGTGATGTGAGATAATCCAAATCTGTATCCTCGTATTACACAAATCTAAACCAAAATTGTAAACATAAATATCTATTACCTTTTGATAAAAATAAAACAGGAAATCTTACAGGTATATTAATTCCGTAACGGTAAGGATTATATCTCTAAAAACGAAAATAAGGATTAGATAATACGTCAGATTTAGTAGAGCAAATAGAATCACCTACTAAAATTATTAATGCGAAAGAATAAATGGTGTAGAAATATTACATAAATATAACACATATTATAATATGTAGGGAGTATATTATTATATGTTCTATTATTGCTTATAGTAGTTAAGACATTATAGAAATTTACATAATGTATACATGTGGATTGTTTAAAACTGAACAAAAATGTTTTAATAAAGAATTATTATGCTTATTCTGCATTAAAAATCATATCACTAACAAACCCGTCTTTATAATTCACGAGAGATAACTGCATGGAGAGAGCGAAGTAGATATTAAATCTTATTTGAATAAGAATATAAATTATAGGATTTATGAAATAAATTTTGCATAGCGAGATGAGTTATTTTACGCTCTGCAAATGTCTATATAGAATGTTTATAGAAATGTAATTTTAATAATCGTTTTCGAGTTAGAGTGGTCACCGGCATTGAAGACAATTTTTTAGAAAAAGACTTTTAAAATATTGCACTCGATTTATTTATAGAAATATGGGGATTTCATATTACATTGAGTCCTCTATTCTAGAACCTTATAATAAGTCTTTATCCGATGATCGAATGTCACAAATATATTGATGACTAACAATTATCTAACATTTAATTATGAGACCGAACATTAGAAGCTACTGTTGGCAAGAATCAGAGAGCTCTTCAGGAATTCTTCAATTTCTGAAGCTATTCATTATAACTATTCATTGCATTTACTTAAAATTTTCAGGGAATATATTCAGGACCTACTAGTTTTAAAAAATGTAACAAACAAACGATTTTGTAAATACTAACTACCCCTAAGCCTACTTTTTAATAAATTTCTATGAATATTACTGTTTTTCGCTTTGTAATATAGCATTTCCAAAATGTTTCAACTCTTTAACATAGACAATAGCTTTTTAAAGCTTATAACAAAACAGTAAATAATGTTGAATGTTTCATTCGTTCTTACAAAATTTTATATTATAGTCGTTTTGAAAGATGTGATTTTGGTATTCATTTTTAGGGAAAGTCTAAAAAATGCAACTAACATTTTAAAAATTTGCATTGTAAATTATATTGGTTTCAAGGTTTGCTTTTTATCATGACGAGAAAACTGATAAGCACAATGTTTTAATATTGTTCTACAAAAAACTACATAATACGAAGTAATAAATAATTCTTTCTCGACAACCATAGCATTTCTCTTCACATGTCAGATTAAAAAAACACTAGCACTTTACTTTATTGTATATGTTACGTATCCTTGCGTGTAAGTATACTTTGACTAATCTATCTATCTATTTCATTATGAGCGCTGAATTAAATGTCAGTCTTAAAATAATACTTTTCCTTTTTCTACAGGACTTTTATTTAAATAATAAATAAATTTAGCATCAAGTTCAATCGTTGTTTCACTTTCCTTAAAAATACTGCTAATTAAAATCCGCAACAATAATTCAACGAACAACTTCTCGAGATATAAGTAACGAGTAATATGAATCGAATTACCCGCACGAGGCCACTGAAAACAGAATGAATCAACACTTTGATTCCTTTTTTTATTCTTTATTGAACTGATGAGTTCTGTCCGTCTTTGTTTGTAAGGTTACTCAAATTCCGCACATCCTTCCTGCTCGCTCTAACGACGGAAAATCACCTGTAAGGAAATTCGTCTCTGACCGCTAAAGATCGTGGATGTTCGTCACCACGCCGTATGCTCATCACACACAGTGATCCGCAACCAGAATCAAATCAACTTTAGAACTTTAAGAAAGAGATACTAACGATAAGATTGACTTATCCGACAAAGACAAACCGATATTTACCTCGTTACACTTTTCTCATGACATATAAAGCCAACTTAGAGCTAGTTCTACAACTTTTCTTGACCGGTGTCTAAGTCGGTGAACTCGGTTTAGTAATGTAATTAGACCAAGTTCACCGAACTAAACTCTATGTTAATACAGTTATAGAATCGACC